CGGTCAGTGCATAGTATACTGTAAAGACGCCGCGTGGCCATATTTTCGGCAGCATAGTAAAGAGTACCCGCGTGCATAGAAAAGATAATCGGCCGTTCTTTAATAAGTGATTACAGTGAAGCCAATGGAATTGTAATCAAAGGGAACATTACATACACAGCATCGAATACATCCAACCTGCAGTTCACCAGGTACATCTTTGTATTAATAAATAAACAAGTCACATCTCGCGCTATTGTCGATCGGGCACACTTACGCTCTCTCGAACTGATCTCTCGACATCGTACAGGCCCGCTAGCACAAACAGGGCACACTAGCACTCTGCCGAAGAACACTTCGGAATCGTACAGGCCCGCAAGCAGAACCAGGGCACACTTAAGCTCTCTCGAACCATTCGACATCGTACCGGCCCGCTAGCACAACCTGGGCACAATTACGCTCTCTCGAACTAGCCGCTCGACATCGTACAGGCCCGCTAGCACAAACAGGGCACACTTACGCTCTCTCGAACTAACCACTCGACATCGTACAGGCCCGCTAGCACAAACAGGGCACACTTACGCTCTCTCGAACTAACCACTCGACATCGTACAGGCCCGCTAGCACAAACAGGGCACACTTACGCTCTCTCGAACTAACCACTCGACATCGTACAGGCCCGCTAGCACAAACAGGGCACACTTACGCTCTCTCGAACTAACCACTCGACATCGTACAGGCCCGCTAGCACAAACAGGGCACACTTACGCTCTCTCGAACTAACCACTCGACATCGTACAGGCCCGCTAGCACAAACAGGGCACACTTACGCTCTCTCGAACTAACCACTCGACATCGTACAGGCCCGCTAGCACAAACAGGGCACACTTACGCTCTCTCGAACTAACCACTCGACATCGTACAGGCCCGCTAGCACAAACAGGGCACACTAGCACTCTTCCGAAGAACACTTCGGAACCGTACAGGCCCTGAACAGCTGACTCAAGAGTCACTGTGGTTCACACACATTGGTTACACAAGACCAACACAGATCGACTAACAGACCCGAGAGACTAATCCACTGAACTATTGAATTGGTAGTGCGAGCCATAAGCTAACCCTTTAAAATCGAACAGGGTTCGAGCTTGACTGACGACATCAGCTGACATTGACAACATCAGCATAACCTCAAAGCAACACAGTAATATCCATACAAGCCTTCATAGCATAAGAATCACAAGAACACATCATTTGAATAATCCAACAGAATTATTTATTTCTACACAACGGTGCAATATTATAATAATTGTTTATAATAATTAACCTTGTTTTTAATAAATATATTATATTTTTCAGCCTTGTCTGTTATTGATTTCCTTTAAAATTATCCTACCGAGAGACTAATCCACTGAACTATTGAATTGGTAGTTCGAGCCATAAGCTAACCCTTTAAAATCGAACAGGGTTCGAGCGAAGTTCATGGTCAGCAAATGTATTTAAGGGGCGTATTTTTCAAGATTCATCACTCTCGATACAGTACTTATTTAATTAAGAAGTGGAAGTCTTCTATTAACTTAGTTCAAGGCAACTATAGTTACAAGTCATATTGGCGGGAGATACATTCCGTTATCGGAGTCCGAAGACGCTGGCAGTTTCCTATTGACTTAGTTCAAACAAAGCTATAGTTATAAGTTCTATTGGCGGGAGACGCATTACCTTATCGAAGTCCGAAGACGCTGGCAGCTTCCTATTAACGTAATTCAACACAGTTATAGTTACAAGTCGTATTGGCGGGCGACACATTCCAACGACAAGTGTCCAGTGACAAGCCCCCTTGAAGAAAGAACAAGGAGGTCCCAATTTCAAATATACCAGTAGTCTTCGTAAGTAATATTATTATTACAATAATTACATACTCTGAGATTCAGAGATTATGACATCGACAAGCAACTAAGGAAGAAGAGGCTCTCCCCAAAGCGACAGTGCAGAATAGATTCCAGTACGCGTCGCCAAGTTCGCGCCCACTAAAAGGCGTCTTGTCGACAAACCCTCTCCTTAGTTCAAGTTCGGACGCTTATGAATTAAAGCAACAAACTAAGCGAGTGTCGACGAATTAATCTTCGCGCCATTCTGCGCTCAAATTCAACCATCACTCTCTTCAACCATCTCTGATGCCTCTCAATTAGCAATGGCGGCAGTTATCTACCTCGTCGTCCACAACCTAAATAGCTCCATAGTCACCCTAACTTACTCAAAAACTAAGGTAGTCCTGCTAAAATGGATCACAATTCCAAGACTGGAATTACTCCTAACAAAACTCATGTGATACGTAAAAAATACGCTAAGGACAAAGACAAAAACACCATACTCATGGACAGATTCACAAGTAATCCTCACCTTGATAATGACACATGGATCACGCTGGAAGGATTTCATAAGAAACAAAGTTACTCAAATACAAGAACTTACCGCTGATGCCCAATGGAAATATATTCCAGGCACTTCAAACCCTATCGACCGTGCATCCCGCAGATTGACCACTGCACAACTTACGAATCACGCACTATGGTGGACGAGACCTCCATGGTTGCACTATTCAGACTCGTGGCCGAAATAAACAACGCAGGATGACAATCAATGCATCCCAAAAGCCCGCGCCAGAATATCACTAGTAGTAGCAACTTGACAGCCCACCTATAAATGGAACATTATTCACAAATATTCAACCCTGATTCACCGACATTATCTGTGAGTCCTCTGAAACTTGATTATTATAAGACCGCTAAAAAGGGCGCCGATACTGTCTTGTATGCCCCGCTATTCTTATACTGCATTAACCTCTCCTTCGCCCCCCCCCACACCATTAAACCGGTGATACGGTCTGATCCAAACATCTTGGTCTCCTGAGCATCCGGATAGTTGGAATTCCAAACAATGCTATAACTTGTGTAATATAACTATATTAAAGAACATTTTTGCAAGCTCTTTTACACAAAGGACATTTTTGATTCAGATGCTTTCAAAAATTTATCAAATTATATAATAATAAGTTTCAGATCTTATTTGTAATCTTCAATAATAATCTTGAAGTAAAATGAATTTTCGATATTTTCCATATTTAGTTTAATTAAGTATTACTATCAGGATGATATGAAACATTTTTTTCCAATAGTATTTACTATTGATACTAAATAAACATTATTTAAAAAATTATTAAAAATATTTATATCTTCAATGTATGCATATACTTAAATAACTGTTTCCAATTTGCATTTAGTACTATTTTCTTTTGAAAATACAGATTACAGTTATATTCGTTTACTGCTTTGCAAGTTTAATAAACTAGCTATTGTTTTATTCTCTCACATGAAGATATGTACATTTTATTTTACAAAATGAAGTAATAAAAACTCTAAATGTTAACGGCATTGTTTAACGGATAGAAAAATTTACGCAAATTCTATTATTTATTTGATGTCATACAAATTTTAATTCAATTCGTAGTTATGTATCTTTCTAAATCTAAAAATTATATAATCAAACACAATAAAAACCATTGGATTATAAAATTAATTAATGAAACAGTAAAGCATTCAATATGAACTTAACAATATTTTTCTCTTAACAAAAACTGAGTAGCCTTACATTAAAATATTATCTTTTTAATTTAAATTTCGAATGTGTATAATTTAATAAGAATAATTAATTTATTTGTTAAACGTAAATTAATAAGAATGAACAAAATATTAACAATTATATAAGTCGTACATGATATAAAACACTTATTAATCTTAATAAATGCCGTAATTATACATAATAAATATGAATAATGCAACTGAAAATAACTGATACTAGACTGGTGAAGCTTGCAGCATTACAAATTGAAGTAAATTTGGGACAACTTTGTATGCAAATAACCTAATACAATAGCGCGTACTATTCAAAATAAACCTATATTACATTATAGTATATTGCAAAAGATCTATAATACCAGAACTTAAACAAAAACATTAAAATAAATTTTATATTTATGATTGATAACAGTATACATAATAACATACATTTATTGATAATCGTATGTAATTAATTTTACACTTTAAAAAGCTTCATATATTTTTGTACTTTAATTAATCCTTGTGCAAAGAAATTATTTATATTATACGAATTGTCAAATAACAGTTTTCAACACTTTTCTATTATAAAAAATTTAAGTAAATAAAAGTACAGTATTGGCAAACTTTCATAAATAACTAATACAATTTTTTCAATATGATAAAAAAGAAACTGATATTTTCACAAAAATTTATTTAAAAAGAGAGCTTCATTATCTACTAATGATTCTCCACTACAGCAATTAATTTGGTAGATAATTTATTTTATTTTACTTTATTTTAAAAACAAATCTGAAAACAATGATTGATTATTAAGTAGTATAATTAAATTAATATTTTTATTGACAATTTTTAGTTGTTCAAAACACTCAATTGTACAATATTTTTTTTAATTTTAGTAATATTGTTCAAATAGTATTTTTTATTATAAATAAATTTTGAATATCGACATAAAAGTTTGTAAAATCAATTATATCTAAATGTAATTGGTTATAAAATGATTAATATACTTTATAGATAAGATATATTAAATGAATTAAAACACAGTTTCTTAGAATGTTATTAAATGGATCGATTTATAGCTTTTTTTAATTCCCTATTTTTATAAAATTAATTTAAATAGGCATGAAATTTATAAAAAATAAATTATCAACTCAATCATTAGTACCATCATCGTGGACGACGCCAGTAAACCTTAGTTTGTATAATTAGTGACAACACGTCATTGACTGTACTCGGTTGCGGTATGCATGAAAACTATCATTTGTGTTCGAAACGTAAATAGATAAAAATATTAAACCAATAAATAGAAAAAAGAATTTGATATAAACTTTCTTCCGGAATATTAGACAACAGTATTTGCAAACTCGTGATAAAATAACATAATTATAAAAACGCTCTACGGAATTAATTTTATAACTTCCTACCTGAAATTACTTAAACTATCGTGTATATCAATAAAAATATATAGTAGCATACATAGTGGTTCTAAATTTATATTATATATTATGTTATATCTTATAGTAACTATCCTTTCCACATATTCATGCTTGACATTTGTGCAACAGCCTATATCGACACATTGATAACAATAATTGGTTACAGACTGTCAGTTTTACATCAAGCAAATTGAAAGTGCCAAGAAAATGTCACTCTATACGTCCCCGAATTTCTGAACTCAAAACTATTATAATGATTACTTATAACTATAAACATTGATTTGTGAACAGTATCCGAAGAAAAAACTTGAAAGCAATGGATACTAATGGACAACTATTAGTCAAGTACCAAAAACTTGCTACAGAATATTCAAAAGTAATGCTCTCTAAAATTAGATATTGCATTATTCATTTATCTTTTATTTATGAAATAATTATTTAATTATATTTAATATTTATTTAAACATTAACATTTTTAAATAAATTTGTTGTTTTCATTGCAAATAATTTATTTAATTAATTTCAAAGCAAGCATACAAATTAATATTATTATGGTAGTAAAACTAAATTGTAATATATTAATTTCTGTTAATAGTTTTAAATATAGTTGCATCAACGTTTTAATAATAAGAAAAAAGCTTAAGCCAACAAAAATATGTATTTAAAACAGCTTAAACTTGCTCATTTTATACAATAAATAAAATTCTTTGTATAAATGATATAATTTCAAAATTATTCATTATGAAAATCATTTTATGTACATATTTGGTAATTTTGTGAACTAAATAACTTAGTTAATAAATAACATTTAAATATCTTTTATATGTATCAAATTATTAACCTAAATTCACTTATGATGTTTGACTTAGATACGTGCACAAGTAAATGTCCTAAAAAAAGCTGTGATTGATGAACAAACTCATAATACAGAACTTAAAGAACAACTAAAAGAAAAAGAGGTTGAATTAAGAAGAGCAGAACAAGAATTGGATAGTCTTAGTTTTCGTAATCAACAATTAACAAAACGAGTTACTGTCTTGCAAGAAGTAAGATGTACATTATAAGTCAGTTATTGTGAAAAATGAATTGAAGTAAAACTAATATTACTTTCAGGATCTTGATAAGATTCAAACTAAAACAAAAAAAGGTAAAAGCAAAGGAATTGAAAATAAGTTTGATCAATTTTCATCAACCTCCAATGATATTCTTGATGAAGAATTTCAAAAAAAAATTGTAGAAAATGCCCTACTACTTTCACAAATTAGTGATAAAAATAGTGAAATTGAAAGCTTACTTGATAAAAAACAACATTTAGAGTATAAATTGGAGCTTTCAGAAAAAGCATATATTGATTTAGATAGTAAATATAGTGAAATAATAGAAAAATTTGAAAGTGAACAAAATAATACTCAAAGGAAACTCGATGAAAACATAAAACAAGAGAAAACAATTTCATGCTCTAGTGAAAATGGGAAAACAAGCAACTATGGTTTAGAATTAAAATCAGGGGTTTCAAATTACAGACAGGATCTTTCTACATTTTCATTATCTTCAGCATCTCGAAGATCATCTAAATCCATTATGGAAATAGGTCCTCTAACGAAAATTTGGAGAACTGCACCAGATGAATTTTGTGATAATTTTACTTTTACAAAATTAACTGAATTAGAAAAAGAACTAAATCATTGGAAAGCTGAATATAATATTATAAAAATTAAATTTGATGAGTTAAATCAAAAAGAAAATATTGAAAAGAATTTATTTGAAATAAATAGTCTAGAACCAATTGAAGTTAATAATATGGTTAATAATTTTTATTTATATCTTTCTACATTAATCTAAAATAAAATTGAATAAATAATTGTAAGAAATCCCTAATATATTTAACAATTTTTAATTAATAAATGTTATAAATTACATAAATTTTATAGATTGGAACATTTAGTGGGCCTTTTTCACTATCAGAAGAGATTATAGCTCGTGAAACAAAAATTAAAGAATATTTTCTTCACGAAATCAATAGGCTAATAATGGAAAAGCAAATATATCATGTTAGAAATTTAGCTATAGCTGCAAATGTAAGTGTATTACTCTATAAATGTAAAAATGATATTGAATATTCATTAAATTATATTAATATTTATTTAAATGTTGTAGATTGAAGTAATTAATGCCCATTTAAATAGAAGTGAAGAAAAAAGAGAAATATGTGAAGCAACATTATTAGAAGCTCTTTCAAGTTCTAAATCCTTGCAAGAAGATAAAGAAATACAAGAAGGAAATTATAAATCACAACTTAGTACTATGAGTGAACATCTAGCCAATATGAATGAAAAACTCATATATCAAACAGAAGAGATACAACAACTAAAATTTGAACTTTCCACAAAAGTAATATTAATAACATATTTGTATTTTATTTAATAATGATTAAATCTAATAATAATTATTATTATAATTATCTGTACATCTGTATAATTGTTAAAACAATAATTTTGTATTTTTCAGAGTAGCAAAAAAGGAAAATAATCTCATTCAGTTACCATTTTATATCAATGATATTAATACATTAGTGACATAAATATGTTCTTCATGAAATCCATTTTATGTAAATATTATAATAATAATATCAAACTTCAATTTACTCCTATTTGCAATAGTAACAAGTATCTTCTTAAATTAATCTTGTGTTATTTATTAATTTTAAATAAAAACAAGATTGACGTTCAGTAATTGAGCATTATATATGTACAAATATAATAAATTGTATACTTTTTAAATATTTCAACAGAAATTTCCATTAATTTTTATTCCTACAAATTACATTATTAGATATTTAAATAATAATTTTAAAGTAAATTAGTTAATAATCAGTCAATTTTTATAGTAAAACTAGACCCACAGCTACAGCCTTGTTCTGCTAAGGGATTATTAATTATTCTAAATGTAGAACGTATTAATTCTTTGTGATATTCTATTGTTGATCCTTTAATATACTCTAAAGTTGTAGAATCTATTAAAACTTTTACTCCATTCTTTTGAAAAATCCTAAGCAAAATAAAAATTAATATTAATAAATTTAATTAAATAATATGTAAGAATAGAATTTTAGTCTGCTAGAATAAATTATAACAAAAATTAATTATAAATCTAAATATTATTAAAGTAAAAATATGTTATATGTACATTTATTATATATAAAAATAATTAAAATCTATAGGATCATGCATACTAAAAAAAATATTCTTTTTCATGAAATTTTAAATATTAAATATAATATTATTCAAGAAACATTAATAGATATTCAACAAATTTTTGTATTTTAGTTTTAAACTGAAATCAATATTTACTTGTCATCTTCATTAATACAAGGATCCAAATTAAATTTATATTGGAAGCCAGAACAGCCACCACCTTCAACTATTACTCTTAAACAATCATCTCCTTCTATAATTTCTTTCAAACGGTCTACACAACTGTCACTAATAATAATCTCTTCTTGAGGAATATTGTTAGTTACTATAGTTGAAACATTTTTCTGTCTCAAACCAGATGCTGAAATCCATGGCGTTCTATAAATATAATAATCTGTATAATTAGGATTATAAATATATGAAATATAAAATGAAGTACTAATATTTGATTTATAAATTTTTTAATATAGTGATTGCAGCAAATAGTCTAATATACAATTATTTTGCGATAGAATTGTAAAAATCAAAATTTTATTAATATTCATCTACTTACCTTAAAAGTTGTGAGAAATATTTATTTGAAACAAAATTAGAAGAAAATTCCCAAACAGAACGTGTTAATTTCGACATACTAAAATATAATGAAATTTTCTTTTAAGGTCTAGGTAAAAAGAACATGACAGTTAATTACCTGTCTAACTTGATTAATTTTAACATATTTTACCAACTTATTTATCACAACTATACTAATTATAAACGATATTCTAATAGTTGTCTGATTATCTTTTGTCGAAGTCAAAGTTAGGTCGATCATTGGTAAGATTATTGGTAGATCATTGGTAACAATTCTTCATTAATTAATTGCGGCAAATACAAAAAATATCAGATAAATGATAAACTACCTCTTTTTTTAAATTCAATAAAGTTATTAAGATATGTTTCAATATTTACATATCAAATAATATATTATTTGATATAACAAATATAATGTAAATAAATAAAATAATGTAAATTAAAAGAAGAATATTAGTACAATTAGATAAAAGTAATCGATGCTACAAAATATATCATAATATAAAGGACATATATGATTTACATTGAAATACATAGAAATTGTAAATTTTAATTGAATGTCAAAATAATAATTAACAATTTTTTTCTATTTATGTTATTTAGTTTTATATTATTAATATAAAACATTGAACGGGACAAAAATGTTTAAAATTAAGATAATTAATCATTTAAAAACTTATCACCGTTAATTATGTAATTTTTATAATTTAAATAATTTTTTAAATAATATAGAAAATAGAACTAATAATAAAAGATTAAAATAACCGTATATTTTACACAGTATTTACACGGTACAGTATATTTTAAAAAGTTTCGAGTTAACATTTAAAAGTTTCCCTTAAAATAAATTTTGTTAGGATCATACTACCAGCTGTAATAAATGTATTTTAAATCATATAAGACAAAATTAATACACAGTCTAACAGCTTAAATATATATTTTTAATATTTTTCTGTATTATAATTAAAATTCAAAAAACATGAATTATTAATGATTATTTTAATTACACACATTTTATTACAAAAATTTTTTTTATTTATTTAATAAATCACTTTAAAAAATAAAAACAAACATCTTAATGCTTGATTAAAAAAAGTTAGATAATCATTTTATTATTTTTCAAAAAATCTTAAAATCTATAAAAAAACTTTTATAAAAAAACTTTTTTTTTTATTTTAATATTATACATAAGCAAATTTATATTATTCTATTGCAATAACAATAAGGTTGTTGATTATTAAGAAATTGACATTTAATACTCGTACATCCGAAAAATATCAATGAAATTACAATTATTATTATAGTTAAACAATCAAAGTAATTTTTTTTAATTAACATTCTAATATTATAATATACAAAAATTCATTGTGCGCTATTATTGTCAATATATTTATTTGTTTAATGTCATTTTATTATTACCTTACTTTATTATACTAACTAGAATTTGTAATTAATATTAATTTAAAAATTGTTTTATTTCTTCTTTAAATTCTTTAAATTTATTTTATACAACCCAACCACTTCATAACCCACAACCATGACTTGATTTATATGCAGATGTGATTTAAAGATGCAATAGCTCAATCTCATAAGTAAAAGCTATTAATTAAATAGAAAATTATAACATTTAGTTATAATTAAATATACAAATCATAGATTTAATTTATAATTTTTCATTTAGATTAGTATCGTTTAGTGTAAAATTGTATCATTTATTTTTTTTATCAAAGAAAATGAAGCAAATATATCAACGATTTATACTCAAAGTGATTACTTGATCAAGCGCATAAAATGAGATATGGTCGATTCCTCATTTTTACCCTGATTATTTTTGCATTCCACTTCAAAAAACAATATCATATATATTAAATTACATATTAAAGCCATACTCTGCAGTAAATTTTTTATTATCATAAGATTCATATTCATAATAAAATAACTATACAAAAAAATTTCATTCTGTTAAAAAAAGGACAACGTGTTTTTCATTACAATGCCCCTTTACTTTATTTTAAAATGCCTTTTTACTTTATTATAAGTTTTGTAAATACTCAGATTTCGCTTTACCCTTGCATGTGTCGATAATTATTCTCTTAAAGATAGTTTATTATAATATATCTCAAAAGAAAAAGAAAAATTATTATTCGATAAAAATAAATATTAATTACAAATATATAAATTATTTATTAAATATATATGTTTACTAACAATTGTGTTAAAAATTTGATGCATTGTAAAATAATTAATTATTATAAAAAAATTGAGACTATTCTCAAATATAGTATTCTTTAATTATTATTCAATTTAATGAAAAGTCATTAAATTAGACATCACCAGTAATTTAACAATTTGTTGGTGTATTTAAAATATGTGAATGTGATAAATGCAATAAAATACGTTTATTATTATATTAATATATATTAAAACTAGGAAAAACTTCATATTTAGATTTATACCTATGGATGGAATATATTAATAATTTTGAATGTCTTATCATAAGCGTATTTCATTTTCTTACTTGACTAAACACATCTGAGAACATATTAGAGTTTACAGGCTGATAATTTTTTATGGGGATTGAAAGAAAATGATTTACTGAAGCTTTAATGTTATTAACAAAAGTGCATAAGTGAAAAGTCATTGAAAAAGTAAGAGGTAATGGTCTAGAAAAAATACTCGATTTCTCTTTTATGCAGAGAAAATTTGCAAGCAATAGTTCTCGGTATATGTAGATGCATGTGCAAGGGGTACGCGTGTATACAAAAGCCATGTATGCCGAGGAGAAGAATGTTCGCCATCAAATCATAAATATGCCGTTCGTTAAAATAAGGATAGTTCAAGCGCGCGTGCGTACACTGCATGGTATGCGAGAAATCGTGAAAGGGTTGTCGTGGATCCATTGCTACATCTTAAATTAACTTGCAATAACAACCGTCTAAGGAAAATTCTATCCAATCCTTTACCCTCTTACCTCCGTTGGAACGCACAATCGACGTGATAAATTGAATAAAACCGAACATCGAGAAAGCGAAAGTTTGATGGACAAACTTCATAAGAAAATGTAAAAACGAGACTGCTTTCAACGGAGAGGGAAACATTACTAGAGAAACCTGGATAGTACTATAAAAAAGCTTTCTATTTAAGAACGAATTTCAACATTAGACAAGAGAAGAAGCGAATTGATAAAGCCAGAAAAACTCCGAAAGGGTCGAATACTAGACAAAGAAAAAGAAAGAGAGAGAGAAAACGAAATAGAATGCAAGGACTGTGAAGCAGTAATAAGTCCTGAGTGAACTGTTATGTATACATATTTTCAAGTTTTCTAACTCCATTTTTCTTCATACTATATTTTAAAAGGAGACGAACGGACCGACAGGCTGAAACCACCCTGGCATGTGCACAAATGCAACTCACGCACGCGCGCATGAAAGAAAAAGATAATAGAGGGGGAGGAAAAGAAAGATAGAACAAGTGAGGAAAAGGAAATGTTAAATGGCTGTCAGGGCAGATCGAGGATCACGACGACCAAGTCTCTGACCTCGACAATACCGTTACAAAGAAGACACGAAGCTTTCTTTACATGTTGGAGGTCAATTTCTTAACTTTATATGTGTAGTGATGCCTGCTAAATAAGAAATGTGTCACAGTTTTTTCACCTACTAGTATTACATCGTTGATAAGAACGAGCGTGAAAGGTACAAGTCTAGCTACAAGCTAGATATAACTAGCAAACGAGAAAAAAGACAATAAAATCTTACTACTTTTCTTTCCGTATTTGATTTGAAAAGCAAAAAAGATTTATTTATCATTATTTTACTTATTCTCTTCCATTTCTTTATTCATTTTTACGTCTAAAATACACATGAAATTCTCTAGTAGATGCTGGATTTTGATTAATTACAGCTCTGTGATACTGTTCTGCCTTTAGTTCTCTTTTTTGCATCTTTATAGAATTAACTCTTCTATTTTCTACTCTTGAAACTTAAACTCACATTGATATCTATTTATTTCTAAGTATAAGACTGTTTTTCTTTTATCTTTTATTTTATCTTGGATAGCATCATGTTTACGGGTACAATAAAAGTGGAAATATGTGAGGCATCCAGCTTACGTGCTACAGATAAACAACGCAAATTTTGGCAAGAAGAATCACCTATTCTTGACCCTTATGTACAATTAGACATTGATGAAAAGTATCTTAATCGATCCTCAACTAAACCAAAAACATTTGATCCTGTGTGGAATGAGTGTTTTACACATGAAGTTCATAATGCTATGCTATTGGGGCTCACTGTCTTCCATAATGCAGCTTTACAACCAGATGACTTTGTAGCTAATTGCAGTATACCATTTGAAGAATTGATTCAACGATATGACGATGAAACTACTGATTTTTGGGTATGTTATTTAGATAGTTTTTAAATTTATATAGAATTTTTATTTTGTTTTAAATTTAAAATCAAGATAATATTAAAATACTTCCAAAAATAATCATACCAAAATTATTTACAATTAATTATTTTAAATATTAACAACTTTATAATAAGTTATCCAAAATATCTATATCTAAATTAAACCTATAAATTAATCATTCTATTATGGATTAATAATATTATAGATTATAATATTATTCCATTAATTAATTATTATACTTTATACCAAATTATCTATTCATATATAAAGTATTAAATAGATAAAACTAATGTTATGAAACATTACTTTAATATTAGTATTATAATATTTTTAAATATTTATTTTTAATAAAAATGTTATTAAACTTACATCAGGGTATATAGTTTGTACAAAGTTTTAAAATTATTTATATATTTATATATTAAAAAAAATTTATATATATATAATGCACTTAGACTTTAAAATTTATTTGTACTTATGTGAATAAAAACCAATTAAATATTTTTTATTAATATATTTTATGAATCTAAACAAATATATATATATAAATAATATATTTTATGTAAAAATTAATATTTAAAATAAATTTAAAATTGCAATATTTATTTTTTTTATATTTTGAATTTAATTTTTAAATTATCTAAATACACTAGAATTTGTAATCATTTTCTCAATTCTGTAATTGTCAAAAAGATAAGAATCAAATGACTATCATTGTGTAAATATAATTAATATTAAATTTTTCAGAATATGAAATATATGTAAAACTAAAGTTATAATTATTTAGCTGGTCTAAAGAAAGTTAAAACATTTAGTTTTTTTTACACAATTTATTAAATTAAATAATTTTTTACATAATACAACTTTCAATTATATAATACCCATTTAATTTTATGAATTTAAGATATAATAAGATTGTGAAAAATGAGTTTCTTTATAGTTAATCACATGTGGATGTAATTAATATATATAGAATTTATTTCTAAAAAGTATTTTATTTATTTATTTAAATTTTTATTTTTTCTACAATAATTTCATAGATGATAAACTGAAATTTTACCAATCATTCTAAATTTAAATTAAAATGTTTAATTCACATCGTAATTATGGAATAATGAAGTGCTTGCAGAGATTATTAGAAATCCATCAAGAAACATTTGATAAAATGTGTATTATATATCCAAAATACTGGGTAAGAAAAAGAATTTGTTTTTACAAAATATTTTTATATTCTATATAAAACACAAACAACTAAATTTCATGTTATTATTTATCTATTTTTATTAATATATTAAACTGTATTATTCATATATTATAACTATAATAGACATTAGGTTTTGATATGATTAATATAATTTAAATATAATTCAATAAAGAAGAGTACTTTATTGCCATTATAGAATAAATAATGATTGTCTGAAATTATATATTTTTTGTATATTAATATTTAATAATCTAAAATCTTATATATAATATGTAAAATATACTTATTATTTATTCAATTAAAATGATTATATCTATTAATTTTGATTAGATCAAAATTGTATTAATTGTATCTAACTATTAATTTTAAACTAGTAACATAAATTAACTATATTTAGGTCGATCTAGAGCCTCAAGGAAAATTAAGAATAAAAATAGAATTACAACGGAATAATCAAACACAACACTCAGGATGTGGTATAGGAGATGGAGAAGGGGTTAGTAGCAATGTGAATAGGAGCAAAGAGCCCCGGCGTGAATTCAAAGAACGTCAGCAAGGCTTCAAAGGTCGTCGAGGTGCTATGAGACGGAGAGTTCATCAAGTCAATGGACACAAATTCATGGCCACCTTTTTAAGACAACCTACATTTTGTTCACATTGTCGAGAATTCATATGGTATACATTATATAAAATTAACTGATCATTCTTTTTTAATAACAATAATTAGAGTTCGCATACTTAACATTTATTTTTACAAATGGAATTTAACCTATAAATATTCTTAAAAAATTATTTTTCTATTAATAAATTTCTATGAAAATATATTTTCATGAAATTAAATACCTATTTATTCTTACGTAACATTTAAAGATATGGAAAAATGGTATGTCTAAGATTTTCAATAGATACCAAATATTATAAATTTTATATTTAACTACATAGTTTAATAACAATATTGCTAATGCTATTATATTGGTATGGTTTTATTTTTCTTCTAATATCTTATTTTTACCTCTTTTAATTATAATTATTAATGTACTAATGTTCTTAAAATTATGTAGTAAGAAATATTCTAACAGAATATTTATCATAAAATGTAATTAATGCAAATAAAAAAAACAAATAAGTAAAACACTGTAAATAACGTCTTGAAATAATAATATTTAAATAACTATTTGAACATTTTTATCACCTTTATTATATATTTTCAAATCAACCATTATAATAATCTGTATATATTTAGTAATTAATTAATAACATAAATTATACTGTTTATTTAAATATATTTAAACTTATTTAAGATAATTATATTAATTACCATAATCTTATTGTATTAAACCATGAAATTATTATATTACATCACTGACTTAACTATTGATTCAAAAGAAGCTTAAAATATTCTTATAATTTTAAATAATAAAATTGTAATCATTAATTATTATTAAAAACAATTTTATAATTAAAATTAGATCTTTTAAATTATATTTTTTTATGCATTAAAAATGAGTGAAATTAAAATTTAAACACATTGTTTTATAAAATATTCAAGTACTTTAAAATATGTTATAACACATATCTCAATGCCATGCATCTTTAATAAAATATAAATTTTATATATTTTTCATTGGAAATATTTTATTTCATATATATATATATATATATATATATATATATTATGTGATTAGGAATATCTTTATATGGTACTAGGTGTTTTCTTGCTGAATACGTAAATAATAGATTCGTTTTAGAAAGTTAAATACTCATTGAAAATCAGATATTGAATAAAAAATATCCCTAAAAATAAATACGCGATACATAATCGTTTTCAATAATATTTATTTTCTTTTTTGTATTTTTAATGGTATAAGAACTTAAGAACCTGACATAGATAATCCAGCCTATGATTATTAAGTTATCGGAGAACATACATCTATATGTTTGACCAGGGGGGGTTTGCAGAGGAGATGATGTGACGCGTTTTTGTCTGTTATATTTCAGGGGCTTGGGCAAGCAGGGCTATCAGTGTCAAGGTGAGAAAGACACAAGTCATGTTTTTCAAGCAATTATTAATAATGTTTTTACCAGGTCTGGGCAATATATTTCATAAATATGCTATTAATGTTGTAAAAAAATATTAATTTTTTTCCTTTGATTATATTTATTATTTTAAATACTTTATTATATTAATTTTTCTAGAAGATATCGTTATAAACAAAGAAATTATTATTATTAATAATCAAAATATATAATATATCTATGAAATGATGGCCATTCCTGGTTATTATTGTAAACGTCAATGAATGTTTGTCTGCATATGTGCTACACTATAATAGTAATTTAATTTAATGGAGTCATCTCGAAATTGAAAAAATTTATTTTTCATCTCTTTCTGTTATGTTAAGGGCTTCTATAATTTATATACTATAAGTTAAACTTACAAACATTTTATAAAGGGATTATCATCTTAATTTTTTGCATTAATATAGCATTTCATAATATTTGTATCACTTATTTTTATTATATTATGGAAATTACGTTATGCAATTTTTCTAGTGCAATTAAAAAAATGCATGTACATGCTTTGTATTAATGTTATAAAGAATATTTCCTAATTTCTGAAAAATATTCTGTAATTGTTTCAGTTTGTACCTGTGTAGTTCATAAAAGGTGTCATGAGCAAGTTGTTACAAAATGTCCAGGAATGCGAGACGAGGTAAAATAAACATTTTTTAATAAAGATAAAATGATGTATTATGTTAGATTAGAGATAGATTTCATGTAAAACTGATATTAAAAAATAATAATAATATAAATAATATAAGGACTTATAAATTCACAAAACATTGATTTATATTTATCAGAAGAAAATTAAATTAATTTATATTTCCAGTCGAAAGAAACAATGTTACAATCAAATCAGTGTACGCAGGGCCCACGATTCAATATAGATCTCCCGCACCGTTTTGTGATACACAATTATAAACGATTTACATTTTGTGACCACTGTGGTTCTCTTTTGTATGGCTTAATTCGACAGGGCTTCCAATGTGAAGGTAATATTTACATTTTTCAAACATATTAAAAATAATCAACAATTCTAAAGCTGTGAAATAATTTTTTTCAACTATTTAAATTGATTTTTATATAAAAATAGATATACATAAATATAAATAAATACAAATTTATTTTAATATATAAGTAGTAAATAAATCACAAATTTTCAAATTAATTTTATTTATTAACTTTTTTCTTGATACTTGTTAATACAACAAATGTATCGTAAAAGTTGTACTAAAAATTAAAATATATATAATTGTATGCTTTATATATTTTGAAAAATTTATTCTATTTATAAAAATTGTACAAAGAAATTTCTGATTATTTTTAGTACTATGAAATTAAATTTGGGAATTAATTCTGATTCATTACCTTAACAATCATTGTTTAAAGTGAAAGAAAAGCTCATTTAATTAATAAATTAACTTTTTTTCATACAAAATTGAAGTATTGAATATTTTCTAATGTATATAATTTTAATTGAAAATGGTCATTAAATAAGCTAAAAAAATTTCTTATTGCATAACTAGAATTTATATATAATTTAAGAGTTCTACTTTGTATTTTATATTGTAGTTTTAATTGTAAAAATGTCTCCAAAATCATAATAAATATAAAGGTTGAATCACCCAAGTTTGTGTCGAGACTAAATTTTTTTCGCTATATATTCAACCGAGAATTATTTACAAAAGTAAATTGTAAATATATAAACAACAATTTTTAAAAGTATCAAATAATTTATCTCTTTATTTACAAAAATTCATAATAACTAGGATTTAATTTGTTAATCTACCCAGTCTGCGATATGAACGTCCACAAGCGATGCCAGAAAAATGTAGCAAACAATTGTGGCATCAACATGAAAGCTATGGCTGAAGTTCTCAGCACTATAGGTATTTCACCAGATAAACAAATAAAAGTGCCGCGAATCAACTACAAATCATCAGTTCAATCCGTCGTTTCAACGAGCTCATCAATCAATGAAATGTCAGGCCCGAATCAAGAGCAGTCCTCGCCGCAAACTCAAAAGCAGCACAAAGAATCAGTGGCTATAACACCTAACGATGAGAGAATGACGAGCAGCGGACAAGATGACCTACACAAAATCAGCATCGCAGACTTTCATTTTATTAAAGTGCTGGGTAAGGGTAGCTTTGGGAAAGTTATGTTGGCCGAAAAGAAAGGGCATCCGGATGAAGTTTACGCAATTAAAGTACTCAAGAAAGATGTGATCATACAGGATGATGATGTTGATTGCACTATGACCGAAAAGCGCATTTTAGTTTTAGCCGCTAAGCATCCATTCCTTACAGCACTTCACAGCTGTTTTCAAACAAAGGAACGTTTATTCTTTGTTATGGAGTATGTTAATGGAGGTAAGCTTAAATGTTAACTATTACAATACTCCTGCATTTTTATGTATTTATTCCTACTTCCTAATGGTTTTTTAAATTGTTAAATAAGTATGCTTATTTATATACTTATCTATGTATTATAAATTCTAATCAAAACTTAAATGAATATTCATCTGTGTAATCAATGAAACTATAACAATTAATAACTCAACTCACTTTACTATTAAATGATATGCAACATTTTAAGATATTATATTTGAAATATTTAATACGCTACATAATTTGAATTTATGAAATTATCAAACGTTATATGGCTTATGTAAAATTTTTGCAAAATAAATTTAAGCATAAAGCTTGAAATATTATGTTATTACGCGTTTAAAAAAAGAGTAACTGGTGGTTTTATGAATAGATCACCTTTTCCAGGTGACTTAATGTTCCAAATTCAGAAAGCTTGTAAATTTGAAGAAGCTCGTGCGCGCTTCTATGCCGCCGAAGTGACACTAGCGCTTCAATTCCTTCACAAATATGGCGTCATTTATCGCGATCTGAAGCTAGACAACATCCTGCTTGACCAAGAAGGGCACTGTAAGCTAGCAGATTTCGGCATGTGCAAAGAAGGTATTCTTGACGGGATGATGACGGCGACCTTTTGTGGTACGCCTGATTACATTGCTCCAGAGATCCTCCAAGAACTTGAATACGGCGCAAGCGTCGATTGGTGGGCGCTAGGTGTCCTAATGTATGAGATGATGGTCGGACAGCCACCATTCGAGGCTGACAACGAAGATGACCTGTTTGAGTCAATTCTGCGAGATGATGTACTGTATCCGGTGTGGCTAAGCGACGAAGCTGTCTCCATTTTAAAAGGGTTTATGACTAAAAATCCGACAAGGAGATTAGGCTGCGTAATTGCAAACGGAGTCGAAAACGCTATCCGAATGCACTCCTTTTTCCAAAACATGGACTGGGAAGCACTTGAAATGCGTAGAGTGAAACCTCCATTTAAGCCAAAAATCGTAAGTCTAGATGATTGTTACATTATTGTCTTTAATTAATATTCAAGCAAATTTATTTGTTAAATCTATATTTAAAAGATAATAATGTTATTATTTAAAAATTTGAATACAAATATTTCCTATGAAGATCTATTTGGGTTATATAATAAAAATATTTTTAATTATATAAAAATTTTATATACCGTATCTATTAATATATTGTTTTAAATTCTAACATTCACATAATATATATTTTATAAATATTTATTTATTTATAAATTTGTAAAAACTTTATCTATAAATCAAGTAAATCGAAATTATAGAAATATTAATATACAAATAAGTTGTTTTCACTAATTTGAATAAAATTAACAAAATAATTAAATAAAATAATAAGTAACCAATAACTAATATTATTTTCATTTATACACAAAGAAGAACAGTATTTACTTATTTCAGTTAAAATAAAAAATTTAATAATTTGCATTCATTCTATTAATTTACAGATATTATCTTAAAAAGTTATATAATTGCAAAAATAAACTTGAGCAAATACATTTTAATTTAATATTTTTATTTTTAAGCAATAAGAAATTCGGATAAGAAAAATGTATATTTGAAAAATAAAAAAAAACTAATAAAGATGTAATTCATTGACATTACCAATTTTAAAGAAAATAATGCTCTTAAATTAATAATAGATAATAATTTACAATATTGTAACATAAATCAGCTTAAAATTTTCGTTCTTTGAACGCATTTAAATATATATTATTGGACAAATAAAGTTTTTTATAAACGGATTTTAAATGATTTGTTCTGAATTTTTTATAAATTATTTTCAGAAAAACAAAAAGGACGCTGTTAATTTTGACGCCGAATTCACAAAAGAGGAGCCAATATTAACTCCTATAAATGCAGACGTAGTTCCTTGTATAAATCAAGATGAATTCCGTGGATTTTCCTTTATTAACAGGGATTTCAATCCTACTAGATTCATCGCTTAATAACGTATACCGTTTGTTGATTCGTTTAATGACAAACACAAGAAAAGTAGCTCGGAAGATTAACAGAATATTACATAGCTTTAAACTTGAAAGATGATTTATCGAGCTACTTGTCATAACTTGAACGAAATTCTTTTTGTGCAAACTACTCTTTCGCATTAAAATATGGATCGAAAGAAGAATGTAAAAAGGTAAAATAAAAGCGTTCCGTTCAATGATCTCTAGTCAAAAATAAAAAATATATAGTCATTTCGCAAAAATCAAGTCCAAATCGTGAAGATGGAATTTTCATCGGCATTATATTTTTTTGCGTGCGATCTCGATAGGATAACAATTCCTTTTTCATCGGTTTTAAGGAATTTATAAAATAATATTAACGTTATTCTTAATAGTAAGTCTCACGTCGATTCGTCGTGAGTAAAATAAAGAATAAGGAAAAAAAGCTATCGGCTTCAAGTAATGTGTCTGCATCATTATACCTGTGCACTCCAGTACTTTACAGTTCATCGATGAGACGCGTGCATCGATTATTTCTCACTCTACTTTTTATCTACTTTTACAGATTAGTACATGGATATACGTCCATGTATCCTATCATATGTTAGTTATTTTGAAAAAGAGTATAAGTGTTCGAAATTTAAATTTATATATTTTATTTATTATTTTAAGCGACGTTAATATATAAAATAATTTTATTATAAGTATTTCATTGGAATCATTTAAAACCAACCAAATAATAACATAAGTAGAAGGGCGAAATATGCCCACCTTCACGAATGTAAGAAACAAATGAAATTGTTGCTAACAAAATAACCAGTATAAACAAAGGTTGAAAGTTTATAGGCTATTATATATAAGAACAAGAAAAAAAAATAAAAAGAGAATTTGGAAACAGTGAGAAACGGACCGCAGGTGGTCCGTAACAAATGCGTATGTAAAAAAGCATACCGGTTATAAATATATATTAACATACGCTTAAAATTGAAAAATCGTCGATATTAATTGCAAATTATTATTAGAAACAAAGTAACTAAAATATATTAATTATAATTGTTAAAATGTTGCTAAGACAAGGATAAAATAAAACTTATACATGCAGAGACGCTAATCATGCACTTTCGAAGATACCTTTAAGTATTATTTTTTAATTAAATAAGTAAATCAAATTAAATCTGGTATTTATATGCCAACCTCAAAGTTGGGTCTGATAGAAACATAGTTATGTATCATAATCACAATTATATATTAGAAGATATGATCTTGTATAGGTATAATAAATCCTTGTACATTTCTATAAAGATTTTTTGTAGAAATCATCGATAAAAAACGAATTCAGCGAATTATACGTGAATTATATACGGTGGAAAATTCCTACGAAAAATTTTATAGAAATCCATGAATTGATTTTATATTTTTATCATATTTACAATGTAATGAAATGTCAAACCCGATTTTTTTAACAAAAATCATCAATAAAAAATTTATAAATGTATGTTAATCTGTATTTATATGAAACTAATCTATGTTTCTATTCGACAGTTTTTTACTATGCTACTGGAAATAAAAACTTTGCATGACAGTAATAAAAGAATAATATAGTTTTCACTTTATAAGCTAACATCTTTTAATTGGCGTCTTGTATACGAATAATAAAAACGCTATTAAATAAAGTAATAATGTTTTAATCTCAGCATTGCTGTTTGCAAAAAATTTAAGTCTGTGTGCGTCTAATTATGCATGTGAATTTTTGTCAGTGATTGATGTACTAAAGCATTATCTCGCATACATAAATTCAAATAAACAAAAATAATGAATATAAAATATATAAGCTAAGTAAGCTTTAGAGGCCGCGCCTCATATATAGTTATAACGGAGAAACTAGGAGGAAAAAATTTATGGCCAAAAAGCCAATTCTTATTTACGTTTTGTTTTGTATGTATTAGCAATTTTTTCACAAATATTATGATTAATTACGAAAAAATAAATGTCGAAATAATGATCTCTAACGGCAAACGGCACATTTTTTCATTCTTGTTACTTCTTTGTTCGGGGTTCGACGCTGGCCGTTTTGCCCTCTTCAAGACACCGAAAGCCCTACGGTTTTCCTTATGACAGGCAAAAAGTTTGGCTTCGACAAAGAACAAATAAATATACCTTCTTATTTATAATTCGATGTTGTACTTATTGTTATCATGTTATTAAACGTGCAATTATCAATTAACATTTATAAACAACGATCATTGTGTCCATCATCTTACTCTGATGGACTAGAACCAGAAAATTGTTGTCGCATTTATGCATGTGTCAATCAAAGATTGTGTATTTTATCAAAAAAATATTGATTGTATTTTATTATATTATATATTTATGCATGTTTTGTTAATATACTAAATTAGCTGTTTGTTATTATCTAATAATTTTTTATATTCGAAACAAAATTCAATGCTGGTTTAGTGCAATTGTATAATATTATCATTTGACATTTAACTTTTTTTAATTACTAATTCACTTTAATAAGTTAATATTTTTAAAGAAATAATGTTAAAATTTACTTTTAAGTTTATTATTTATATCACTTATGAATATCTTAGCAAACTTAACATTTATATTTCAATTTAAATTTTATAAAAGTTATACATTACAGTATAGTACATATGAAATTTGTATTTTGTATTGAATCAATATAATATATTTAAAAAATTTATTGGAAATAAATTGTTAATAATTAATAAGCCGATACAATTAATAAAATATTATAATTTATATAAAATTTTGAAATTATAACAATCAATAGCATAAAATTTTATTAATATAAAGCAGAATAAATATTTTTAAAATATAATTTTTTTTCAGGACGCACAGAAAGTGTAATCCATAAATTATAGCTCTGTATTACTAAATCTAATAGCAGAAATTATTAACAAAATATTTATTTTTAAGATAATTGGAACTAAATACGATTACCGAATATTCTCTCATCCCCTCTCTTTCTTTATCTATTGATTAATTTGTCTCTATTTTACTAAGAAGCCATACGTACACGTAATACAAATACATATACTATTATTATTACTTTTTAAATGTATTATTATTTCCATTTTATTCGCTTAAATTTGACAAATGTGTCAAAAAATAAATAGAACAATTATTAGTCTTCTATATATAAAGACAAGAAAGTACTTAATTCCGCAATTTTTCGAAATTATATGATTACTTGCGATACTGCAACAACATTCTGGTTTCATGATAATCTATATAATACATTTGAAATAAATGAAATGGTTAAATAAAGTTTACATACATAATAGAAAATCTCTATAACAAATACGTAAATGTGGTATGTTTTATTCTTAAATATAGGATATTAAACTGTCGTGAGACAGTAAATTATAATAATTATGCGTCTTTTATTTAATATCATAAAATTTTAAAAAAACTATAAAATTTTTCAATTTATATATTTTTTATTAAAAACTGAAAAATTGATGTTACTTCGTAGATAATATTTTTTTATTTTTAAAGGGAAAAAAAGATAAATAAAAATGTCATACCGGAAACCCGTAAAAAATTAAATAAAATAATGAACAAAACAGTTAAAAGATAAGCTCTTTTAAGAATGAGCAAAAAATACGTGTTATAAAATTTATCGTTGTCAGCACTTCTGGATACGGATCGCGTACTCGATTCTAATATAATTATAGAACACGTTCGGGTTCTGTATTTTTCTCTTTTATTCTATATTAAGAGCAATATATAATACATTTAAGTCCCAAGCTAGCCAGTGAAAAACCTGCATAAATATGTACGCAAACACAGCAGAAGTGAATAAGAGAATTCGAACATTAATTCAAAATGAAAATAAGATAAGGTCATAAAGAAAGCAGAAAAATACGCATAATTAAGTAGAACAAAAAATCAACAAAAATAATAACACGTAAATGCACACGATCTACATTATATTGGGACCGTAGATTATAGATAGAAGTTAATGTGTATATCTACTATATGTACGTACTCGGTTCGCAAAAAATACCATCGATATCTATGCCTTAGTCAAATCATGTAATAGCGTTTTTTTAATACATTTATATTTTCTTAATTTATTTTTCAATTACGTTTCAAAACATATTCACATATAAAATGAAAATATTATTGAAAAAAAAAATTAAATATCACATGTTGAATTACTGGAAAAAAAAGTTTATATCTAAATAGACATAGCGTAAGATCTTAAGTGGTTGAAATCGGATTATATGGTTGGCCGCGATAAACACTGTTATTTGTTTGATTATCATGTAAAGAATCGCAAATAATAAAAATGTATGTGTATCTATAATGATTGTTTTTAATACATTATCGTTATTGCAATAAGATTTTCAATAGCTCCTCTTCATTATTATTAAAATTTATTATTTTTGTAACGATCTATTTTGTACTTTTAATAATAATTATTTGGTCAATGAATTTTTAATTATTTATTTAAATTTTGTCAAATATCACTTCATAATATGCATTCCAGAGTGCAATATTCAATTATTATAGATAATTACGATTTCATAATTAATATCTAGAGTCAGTACATGTAAACTGGCTGTAATCATGATCGATGTATGAGGCTAAATTTAATTCACAAACATTTACAATACAATTACGATGGTTTCTTTCGAATAAAAGTAAAGTATTTGCAGATCTTTCCAGTGTTTGTGAGGCTAGTTTAATCAAATTTCTATAAAGAAAAGAAAATTATTTTTACTATGAAATGTTATTATGAAATGATATGTATTATGAAAAAATATGCCCGTCATATATAATATAATAAACATTTCACTTAATGACTGTAACATAATTATTTTTGCTACCTGAGATAAGTATAAAATATATTAATTTTGCATAAATAAGTTTATAATCTTTTTTATAAATAATATATATAACTTTAAGAAGTCGCGTAAAAATTAATATTTTTTATTATAATTATAATTTATATTATAAATTAATAAAAACTTAAAAAATAATAATCTAACAAGATTGACAGAAACTACATAATTTTTTCCAAATAAATTTAAGTAAGATTATATTAGAATTTTCATTTTTCAAACGTATAAATCATGTTTTGTAATACGATGTCACTTTATTATATTCTTAATACAGAGCCTACGTATATTAATATAATTTTTATAATAAATAGGCGTGTTCGCATATGCATTTGCATTTTTTAGAGATTACACGTTTTATCCGTATCTCGTGTTTACAATCATACTCATGAGTTCATTTTGTTTATTTATTAACTCACTTCTATTGGTTCACTTTAATTATGACAAAGAATTGTCTACATGTTTCGTAAATACAATATATAGTATATACATAGAAGTTTAATAAATTATTCAATTAATTAAATAACATTATTAGTCAATAATTTATTTATGTTTTATTATTTGCATCACTATGCTTCATCTATCATTCATTATTTCACAGTAGGCACATATATATAAATATATTTTTTTTTTTTTGTCACTAGAAGATTTCAGTAATTTTTCTCTACACACACAATATTCCCTCATTTATATAATCCTATCTTTTACAAAAATTAATAAATTAGAACACTAGCATAATCCGAATCATGATCATCCTTAAGATTTATCAATATGTAACTCAACAATACTTAGATAAATTTAATTTTACCAAGTATACATTTTACCAATATTTAAACCAAAAAGTTTTTCATACTGATGATGAAGTTGAAGTTTCAAAGCTTTTAACGCTGTGAAATTAACCTTGTTGATAACACTATTCTATTTTACATATTAAATATATTGTTGTTTATTTATTTCTAATATTACTAGCCAAAAATAAAAAGCTTTAAAAGCCATTGATAACTATTATATACTATTAATTAATTAAAGCATTCATGGCTATTCCCTCGCCAACTGATCATATATAAAATTAATAAACGTAACAAATAAGAATTTTTTTAATTATTTATTCTATAAAAATAATAACTCATTTACAATCATATAATTAAAACTTCAAATTCTAAAGTAGTGCTTTCATGTATATTTAAAAATTATATGAAATAAAAAAATTGGTTTTTATATTTTTACTTCATCTTAATAATTAACTTAAAAAATCATCACATTAGTCCTTCATAATTTATTTAATGTCAATTTCAAGTGATCAAATGAATATTGATTTAATTTTTCGATAGGTTCATTGTATATCATCTATATTGTACGTAAGTATCATTACCGTTAATAACTCGTATTTAACAAAAAATACTGTAAAATATAACGGGCGACTAACATAATTCTAATAGAGATTCGATACCTTACAAAAGTCTTTAGATTTGTAAAAATACAATAGTATAAAATATTTTTCAAAAAATGCATGTAGTTTAATATATATAGGAATATGTAAATTCATGATTTTTTTAATACAACTTTCGATTTTAATAAAAAAATATCATTAATGTCAAATAGTAATTATTTGATAATTTACATAGTTTTAAAATTAAAAACCATAATATGATTAATATTTCGATTTGAAATATATTAAAAAATATATTTCATTGTAAAGAATAATGTTTCCATTTTATACAAAAAATAACTGAAAATTGAAGAAATGTTGTTTGACTTAAATTATGATTTTGATTAAAAAATCCATTACTTGTATATAATTAAAAAATGGAATTATGTACGATAAAACAAAGCCACTGCATTCAAGATTATTTATATACAATTTAGAAATGAAAATTGCTTTTTTGTAAATGAATAAAATTGTAAATATAAATAATATTAGCTCAATTATTTATATCAGTATTTACATAAATATTTTTGAATAATTTCAATTATTTGTTTAATTACTAATTTACTCTAAAAAATATATTAATCCTATCTTTACCAGATTAATTATTATAAGAATATTAACAAAATAATTTCTAACTTAGAAAAATGGCGTGATCAAACGTCAATGGACCTTATAAAATAATAGTTTCAAATATTGCAAGAAAATTAATAATAATTATCAATAATAAAGAATAATAATTACTGTGTAGGTCATAATAATAGTTCGGTAAAGATAAGATAATTCATGTATCACTAATCATAAACTTTGTTTATTTTGTAGAACAATACATATTTTTGCTGATTAGATCAATTACACTGTTATAAAAATTAGTGGCATTTAATGTTTAAAATAAAATATTGAATATTATTATTTTAAGTAATATTTATCACATATTATTACTTCACATTAGTGGATTATTACTAATTTAATAATTTGTTAAGTCTAATTGTTTTTCCAATTTATTCTGACAGCTCGTTTAAAATTTATGTGTAAAAGTGAGCAGTCTTATTAATATAAAATATATTTTTCAATATGAATATATAAGTTATTTAATATTTTGTGATATGAAGCTAGTATCCTTAAAATCAGGATAAATGTTTTTATAACATAAAATTATGTTTATTTTAAAATTAAAAATAAACTTATATTTAAAATTTTTTTTAATAAGTATCTCAAAATATAAAACTTTTATTTTCCAATGATTATTTATTATACATAATTTTCTAATAAAATTAAAAAAATTGATCTCTACACAAAAAATACACGAAATTTATTCATCTATAGGAATAATTTGTCCCTATAATGTTCTGTTCTAATTATTCCTAAAGATAAATTTGAAAGCATCGACATAAAAATCATTTGTATTGATTGTTTGTTCTTTCTAAAGCAATTTTATACATGCATTTATATATATATATATATATATATATATATATATATATATAATCTCGATTTATCACTGATATTAAGAATAGTATTGTTTCCTTTAATTTATAAAATATGAAATATATGATAACAATCCTTTTGTATTTTTGGTATATTTAAAAATGATAATATATATGATACAGATAAAAAAGGCAACGAATGATACACGTATATATAAATAATTGAAAAATTGCTAACACTAAAAATAAGGGGACTGTCATAATACCAAAATGTAATAATTCATACATAAATACAAGACTTTTGTTTTCTACTTAATTTACTATCGGCTTAAATTAATAAACAATCTTACACGGCAGTATTTTGCAATATAGTAGATCTATAATAGATCTGTAACAAAATTTGCATCATTCGAATATTCATGCCTAAAGCTAGCAATAATAAACGATATGCATTTTATTATAATTGTTCATTAATAAGTTGTAAAATACACATTTCGATCAAAATTACATTGTTTTACATTTTTTACGTTGTAAAAAGTTACATTGTATCAAATTTTCATATATGAAATAGATAAAAGTAATAGCATATATATAAACCATAAGAATCATTTCAATAAATTTAATAATAATTATCACATTTAAATAATTAATGGCAGATTTGAATAATAATTAAATATACCATTTTAATTCGTCTAATGCTTGTCAGAATAGACATATTTATTTAATATTTTTATCTTTGTTTTGATTTACAATATTTTAATACGTATATATATATATATATATATATATATATAATTGGAAGATGAATAGAATCTCCAAATCCTTATAAGTAACCACGTTTAGAACAAATTGAATAGCGTATATAATTTTTAACTGCCAAACACATACCAGTATATATACTTAAAATTGATGAGAGAGAGAAGCAAATAAATTTTAACTAGCTTGCATATGGATAACAGGTGCGCCCCTGTGTAATACTGATGGTGGTCGAGACTTTCGATTGCTACTACTACTGTTTATGGCCTGTTGATGATGTATCATGTGCATTTGATTCATCTGCTGCATAATTGCAGAATCTTGTTTGTGAATTTCTAAAGGTGATTGAAGAACTGCCATATACTCACGTATAAGATTCGCTATTTGAAAAGCCTGTTAATAAAATTCCACAATATATATATTATACATAAATACATTTAAAAATTTCTAACATTTAGAATAAAGAACTGTCGTCATATTTTAGTTCAACAATTTGTACAAAAAACATAAACTTTCTATTTAATTCACTGTCAGATTAAGTCTGTGAATACTCCTACATAGCAATATTTCATAAAATAATAAATTTATATCGTGTGTAATAAATTAATATCATTTAAATATTCACTCCAAAAATTAGTGATAATAAATCAATACCTCTCATTTATCAGTTTAATCATTAAATAATTTCATAATTATTTGTCAATAGTTGTGAGATAAATAGTTGCGTTAAAAATTTCCTGTAGTTACATTATACTGAATTTTAAAATAAAAAATTAAATAGCTCTAATATAAGAAAGTGGTCTAAGAAATTAAAAATTAAGTAATTTAAGGTAATGATTCTAATATATTTAAGTAAGACAAATTTAAATCGAAGAGCCATCCATACCTGAGAAGTCGTCAGAATAACTTTGCTCTGTTTCTTATCAGTGCCAGTGATAATCATTAAACAATTGGTGGCAGGATTATAACTAAGAATACTCTCATACTCATAAGTACATAGAGAGTTTCTTGACCGATACTCTAGTAAATGTAAACCCACTTGATCTACCGCAAGCCAAAGCATCCGTGGCCAATTAGAAGTAAACGATTGCATAACATCAAAAATCGTAGCCTTGTGTAGTGGCCAGGATTGTATTAAATTGAGAAATGCCTTTTTAGATTCGGGAGGTGTCATACCTCCCAGTGATTGATGGTGTTGTATTACTCCGTCGAAACAAAGGTTTGGTACAAATCGATTGGGTAGACAATGATTCGCTATAGACTGATATTCTTGAATCGATATATGATCTTCGCAGTTGCCAAGTTCCACTTGAGCTTGCAAAGCTGACAACATAATCTAAGAATATAAAATCGTAATACTGTATTACCCTTGTACATTAGCTAATATTATAAAATATATGCATAAATAGAAAAATTCAAGTGTTTATAAATAAAAATATTATTTAAATAGTAATTTGAGTTAAATAAAAATATATTACCCCAATAATACTATCATTTCTTTTTTTATTTTATTTTAACAATAAACTTACAGCTTCTTTTTCTGTGATTGGGAAACGATCAGCGCGAAGGTCATGAAGTACTTGATGATAAAGCAGTTCTTTTTCAACTGCATCATCCAAATTCATATATTGATCTAAAAATAAATGTTTCTTAAATAAAAAAAAGTGGTGTACGCTTTTCCGTGTTTCTGAGCATTGGCCACTGTTAGTTGCAGTTCTATATTTCTCCCATTTTGACAAAACTTCCGCAATTTTTTCATCTGATAACAGGGCTCGCTCAGAAGAACCGAGTACTTCATAAATAGCATAACCTATTGTAGAAACAAACATTCAATGTTCCAGTTACGATATTAATTCAATAATTTTTTTATTTACTACAACATAACATATATTTTTACAATAACGGCAGAAAATTATATTGAATACCAAAGGGGCTATTTTTGAATTTATTATTTATTATTTATTATTATAATTTATTGTATATAAATATTAAAATGTTCAAACTTACCCATAGCACTCTCGTCTAAACCAATTTTCGCCTTAATAAGTACCATCACATCTTTTGCAGTAGCGGACGGATAAAATTCTACGGCGTGATATTGCCCATCCATAAAATGGAACCTAGCATATATAGGCCTTCTATTAATCGTGTATATAATTTCTTCTCTACTAGGTGGCCACTGCCTTTTTCTAGTTCCTTGTGTTTTATACAAGCATTTTTCTGCGAATCTCGCGTATTTTCCCTCCTCTGTTACATAATCACTTGCACATCGCTTCAAATGTGTGATAAGATACTTCCTAATGACCTTCTGAGGTGGTAAAATTACGGAACATGCTGATCGATATGAACAAAAAAATGTATTTTTTGGTTTAATTATCAAATTTGTTAAATAATTCTTAATTTAAAATAGAAATTTAAAATACCGATTAATGTAAACTATTTTTCCCATATTGTATTATATTTTATTTATTATATTTGTAATTTATTCCTAAATTTTGTTTAAATACATATATCTATATATTAATTAAGTAAATAAACTAACATAAAACTTTAATATTTTCTTTACATAAATGAAATAATGATGAATAATGGCTTACCCAACGATAATAGAGCCCAATGCCTAAGATTGACACGACTATTAGGATCAGGATGATCAGTTGTCTGTTTAATCATTTGAAGATACAGTTCACCTAGGAGTATTTCCTTACGCATACATCTTTCCATTACAGTCTGTATAAGATTCACGTGTTCATCTTCAATGCGCCTTACTGTGTCACCGTTCTGCCCCAGTCCAGCATAGGTGAGGATCAACTGAAAGACGCTAAGAGCTATTTGTTCTTCGGCATCTGGTAATTTTGTTAAACTTTGAGCAATACATATCCTACTAAAAGCCCAATAACCGTAATGAAATCCCTTATACGTTTCACCTGGAAATAATTTACGAATATAAAATTCGAATAAGTGAAACTGTGTAACGTAACAATCAAAAATAAAATTAAGTAATATTACAATACGTAATCAAATTTAATATTAAATACAAATAATCGAAAACATTAGTTGTATAGTATTTACACTGATACAATTACAACATAAAAAAAATCTTTAATTTTTCTTTATGAAACAATTACTTAAATTTTTTGAGTATTTAAAATATTTTTTAACTTACAAATTTTAAAAGGATATAAAAGAATAACTAATTTTTAGCAAAATATTTTATCTGCTCTAATTGAAAAACAAAAGGAACGTCAATTACCTTGATCGGTAGAGTTCCCGTGTTCCTGTCGAAGTTTTTCGATTCTATGTTTTGACAATCGTCTAAGTGTATTCCTAAAAAAACCAACTCCACTATCCTGTGGCTTCTTAAGTACCTCTGAGTCAATCAAAGTTCTCCGACAATTAACTAAATTATGATATAGTCTTACTCTATCCTCAGTAGTCATGCCTTTCATCTTTTTCGTTGGGATCTCACTTTCAGTTATCCATCCTGCGAGAGCGGGACAATAGCTAACTATCAAGCTTCCTATTTCATTCTTTTGCTGAGTCTCGAAGACAAAGCATTTGTGCGAGCTATCAGGATTATGTCTCAATAAAGAAATTGTTATAAATGAGTCACTTGGATCAAGCATGATGCTCTCAACATCTTGATAGCGATATTCTGAGAGAACAAACTTATCATCTTGCTTAATTAACATTAAACCCTCACAATTTATTCCAAGGATTAATTTATTTCCATAACACCAATAACCGCGATATGTGACATTGAACATTGTTGTCCCGTAAAGTGGATACTGCATCACACAAGACAAATAAAGAACCTTAGCAGTGAGTTCTAGACGTCCAGCTCCGTACTGACGATGAGCCTGAGCAAGTATTGGCACCCAAACATCATCACCTCGTGCTCGACTTATTCTATATGGTAGGAATGTTTCGATTTCACTGTAATAATCGAGACGGTCATTATCCTTCGGATCTCCTAGCATTACTTGAGCCTGTAATCCGGCAAGTTGCAGAGCTACCTTTTCTGATACTGGAAAGTCGTCACACTATAATGAAAAAGTGCAGGGCTTTTCTTATTTATATGATAAAGTTTCTCTTATTGCAATTTTTACATAAATTTTAAATAATCAATTTTATAAATTGTATATTTTAACAGTATGTACATTATTAATTGTTAGATAATTACAGTACAATTTTATAATTCATTATATTATTTTTGCAATCAAATAGACTACAACATTTTCATTTAAAAATTATAGAATTTAAATAATACAATTTTTATGCTATGCGATTAATACTTATATAAGGAGAATATACTGCTCGTGTATAAATAAATGATAAGAATAAAAAATAAGTTGATAAATGTAATGAATATAAATTGATTTACTAAAAATCTGTTACCTTTACAACATTATAAACTGCTTGTGCATAAAGCATATTCACTTCAACGGGATCTTGTGATAACTCTCTAGTATTACGAAAAAGTCTTCGTTTAAAAATAAAACGATTTTCACCACTTCCCAAAGTCTGATTATTACGACGTAAAGTAGAAAAGCTAGATTGCGATGTATGTAATTTGCACTGTTTTCTATAAAATAATACACAGATGTTTTAATTTATTTATTTTAATTATCTAACAAATTTATAAAAAGTTTTTTAGTTCCTATCTAAAAATATGTGCACAATTTAATTATAAATTTTAAATTTAATGTCCTTTATATATATTTCATTACTAATTCTCTAAATTTTATTAAAATATTTATAATTAAAATTGTAATGTTAAACTAGAATTGGATGTTCTCCAATACGAAAAATGAAAATGCCATAGTAAGCAATAGTTTATTATTATAAATTATATTTTAATCACGGTTTGAAAATGTAAAATGTAATTTATACGAAGTGAAAACTTATTGCTATCATATAAATTGAGGGTGAAAAATAATATATAAAATTAAGAAAAATTCAATGGCGACATTTTTACACCTCACATCAATAATATAAGCTTACAATTCCCAAGCAGCAATAATATCGTATAAATAATCATGGGCCCTGACGTGTTCCTCTCCGTCGGGTCTGCTCTGATAAATAGCCCATCCTTCGAGCGATCTTAGACCCAATTTTTCCGCAAGCTTAGAAGCAGCATCTGCGGCTGTATCAATTGGATGAACATCAATTGCCTTTGTGCGTCCATCGAGAAAAAAAAACCTACAAACGATGGTGCCAAGTCTTTTCATAGCTGCTATCTCTACAGTAGATGGTGGATACTGACGACAAGAGATCTTGGTGTTCTTACAATTATCAACACACCACTGTACATACTGTCGTAATTTCCCCTCGAGTGTTAGATTCTTCTTTAGAAAAGAAAGAAAGTATTTATAAAGAAGCTTGCTGGGTTGATAAGCGACAATAGCTAAGCAGAGTAAAAGCCAAACACGCTCGGCCCATTCGGTATTGGGATTGTTAGTCGCCTGGCGCATACATTGGACAAGAATTTCATCGCGAAGCTCTTCGCGCTCGATACCAAAGCTGATTATAGTCTGAATAGCTGAAAGCTCCTGATCCAGCTTCATTTCACCGCGCAGATACTTACAAAGATCCTATAATTTATATTATTTATTTACATTATCTCTTTATCCACGCGTGCATATGAAATAACTAATGATTTTGTCTATTAAACATTATCCTATTATCCACTTATACATATAAAACAACTGTAGAATTCTTCAAATTAGCTATTCATCAATACAATATTTTATAATATTTTTAGTCTGAATTTTTTGAATCTGTATAATAACTATATTGTAAAATACTTGCTAGATACAAATTATGACATTGCATAAAAAAATATTTTGAATTTATGTATAAAAGAATTAACTCAAAATTTTATATCATTCTGAAACTATTATATTAAAAACATAGATTTAATTTTTTTCTTATACCGATACATACCCTAAAAACTGAACAAGCAACGTTTACATTGTCTGGATCGTACATATAAATATGAGAATTCGGAATAGTTGATCCTTTGTAATAGGTAACCATCTCATATTTAGGTATATACTCCATATTTTTGCCACGCGATTTTCTCGTGAGAGTTGCCATTATTGTACCTTCGGGTGAACGTTCATGACTATTAAAGTAGTTCTGTGCAAATTCAACAATGTCATGGTAATTTTCATTAGGTTCTAGCATTTCCTCAAGTTCCTGGAGTTTTCGTTCCACCCGAAATTTACGTCGTTGTTCTCGTTCTAAAGGCTGTTGTTGTTGCTTACTCGCTTGAACTTCATGATATGACTTTTGCGATTCGTACTGCGATACATGATTTTGCTGTTGCTGTTGTTGCCGCTGCTGTGGTTGTTGCAAAACTTGTTTTATATATACTTGCTCTTCATGGCCATTCTGCTGAAGATACAATTGATGATTGCTATGACTTGGTACATAGTGATTTGAAGCAATGTTTTTTATTTCTATTTGTGGATTCGAACTTATAATCTGTGTGAATAGAATAATAATATGTAATTATTTTTATACCAATTACATTATAAAATGAATACATGAACAAAATAGTTTCAATCATTTTTATTTTCAACTGTATATATATTGTATCAAACTATCTAGTGATAACAGTGTTAATTTAATATATAAATAAATTAATAAATCGACCATTTTAATACGTGTTAAAGTTATGTATTCTAAATTAAGAATTAATTAATTTACTAAAATTTTAATAATATAAAAATAGGTTTTAATATTTTCTAACAATGTTGCTGTAATAATATTCGTAGAAACGTATAATAAAAAAAGTTATACTTTATTAGATTTATTAGAATACTTGCCTTTTTGACTTCCTGAGTTTTTTTGTCAATATGTATAATCGGTGTAGCAGCTACATCATCTAAAAAACTATTGTTCGATTGAATGGAATTGCTATTAGTTATAATTGAACTAATTGTTAGATTCTCATTCTTAAGTAGAATAGATTCATAAATTGGTTCTGTTTTCTTTGCCTTTACATTAATGATGGTGGAGTTGGCGAATTGAATAGGTAGAGGAGGTGGTGGTGGCGGATTAACTGGTTCAGGAAGGCTTGAACTCTTTTTCTGACAAGTTATTAAACTTTTTTCGCCATCATTAATCATCGAACTTTTCAGATCAACTTTCGAGTTCTTCACACCTTCTTCTTGTATCGCAGACTCGAGTTCGAAATCGAGATTTTCTACAAGTTCGTTCATTTTCTCACCGATCTCTTCAATTATCGGATTAAATTTTGTTGACTGTACATCGGACAGAAAAGAAAAGAGATTATCTAAGTCAACTGATTGAATTTCAGTTGTTGTACTACTATTATTATTGTTATTGTTTTTGGCCATCTTAGAGTTAAACTGCTCTGCCATTTGTGTAAGAGCTGCAATTTCTTCTTGCGCTTTCCTAAATAGTAGAGAAACAAAATATTAAGAGTAAATGAGAATAATACTTGTTTTCATTATTAACTAAAATATATCTTTATAGTACGGAAATTGTTGATATCGATAATATTTAAAAAAAAAATATGTCTTGCTTCTTTGTATGGTATATTAAAATAAAATTTAAAATTATTGACCTATTTAATAAACATATTGCTGATAATATTGTGTGAATTGTTGAACAAAAAGCCCATATATTTTTATTTCTATTATTAGCTGTAGAAATAATATTGCAATAGCTAAGTTCGATAATATTGAAATTGAAATATTGCAATACAAACATATAAAATTTAATATTGTTAATACATGCGAAGTGTAAGACACATCAACTCTTTAGTTCTCTAAAACTAGAAGACTTACCCAGGTTTCATTTCCACAATACTGCTGTATTGAGTGCTACAATTAACACGAATATTTCATCATTATGTTATAATTTTAACAAATAAATAATGAAATATGTAATATCAATAAACATTGTTAAAAAAAATAAACATGATAAAAATTAAAAATAATAAATTTATGTAGTTACCTTTGATTTTCCTCAAGAATAATTTTATCCTCCATTAGTCGTCTCTTTTCTTCTAGCCTCTCGCGTTTCCTCATTTCCTCATCAACGTGTCTCATTTCACGTAATGCTGTCGCGACTTCACGTGCAAAAACTCCTCGAAGATGTGACTGAATAACAATAGCTGCACGTCGCTTTCTGATAAACATTATACGCAGTTTCCAACCGCGATAAGCATGCTGTACCTTCAGAGCCGCTTCTCGCATTCTTTTGTAATCTGTAATAAAATATGAATATTTTTGTTTTTAATTTTTGTATGTATAATCAAAGTTAAATTCAAATTATTATTTAAATGTAATAACAATTTTAATATTTTTATATTATTAACAAATGTATTACCTTTACAAACTATGTAGCCCTTCCAAATTTTCTGAATTATAGTAGCATTATAAGTAATTATTTGATTCCTCTCATCTTCTAATGGTTCGTGAACAAATTTTCTGAGGAAAACTTTATTTTTTCCGATTTGCCATTCCGTAATCGGAATCTTCTGATTCCTAATCAATCTCCTCGTGGCTTCCTTTTCATCTTTTGGAAGAGTAAATCGATTTTTCTCTAAACAACGATATCTCGTAACAAAATCAGAGAAGGTCATGTGAATAGGGAAGCCCTCTTTACGTATGCGAATGATGTCAAGCATACCCAAATATCTCAACTGATCGAGAACCAACTTTTCATTGTAGTCATTTGCCTTTTTGTTCATGTTAGGTTTTATACAACGTGCATACCACGGCGTCGTACCTTGAAGAACATCGACTAGAGCCTGGAGCTGATGGCGAAAAGAGTCACAAAGCGTCGGTTTGCCTTTCGATGTACCTCGTGAGAGAGTCGTAATATTTCCCGATGCTCGAGCAACGGTACATCCCAGAAGATCCTGATATTTATTTATTTATTTATTTTTATGTACAGTAATAATATCAAATAAACTCAAATATATTTAAAAAAAGTTTGTTTTGGTAACTTCCTTATGTATTTATAATCTTCGTTTTTATTTCTTATTTAAATATATAATTGTTGAAGATGCATTAAAATAAAATAACAGAAATTCTGACAGATTACTATAGAATTTCGTTGTAACTATTTATAATCAAGGATTTTTATTGTTGGGGCAACATTAATAAAAATGAGTTTGCTCACTTGATACGCCGTTATCTCCTGTACGAACCCATTGGTACTTCTCGTCATGCAATCGAAGAAGACATCCTGCTGAACGTCACGATTTTTATCAACGAACCCCTCAATTGTGTATGTAACGCTGCCCGCATAATGCTTAAGGCCAAACTGCTTTTCCCACTTGCGACGATCGTCACCCTTTACATAGCATGGGTGGTTTTCAAATTCTGTATGAAGATTCGTGAGATATGCAAGATCAGAGCCTTTGGGCATGTGGCATTGCTCCGTGAGAAGCTTAAGAACGCAGAGGGGTGGCTTCTCAATCAGCTCGAGGCACACAGTGTTATCCGTGAACGTTATGTGTGAATACTGAATTTCTTCTTGTCGATACTGTAGACATTCATTCAATTATATAATGTTATTCCTAACTGTTATTTCAAAAAGTTTTACGATTTACAAATTTATATCAAAGAGATTCAGTGTAATGTATTGAAGATTTATTAATTCATTTTTAGATTTTAATTTCAATTTCATATTTAATGTACTTAACAATTTTTAAAGTTAACATAAATTTTAGAGAAAATTGGTTTAATATATTAATATATCCATATTTCACATGTTTGAAAAGAAACCAAATAAAAAATTAATTAAATTAAGAAATTAGCTAATTACGTATTTTTTACATTCTTAATGTACTTGCAATAATATATTGTAATTGTTTAAAATTTTTAATAATAATTGTAAATAAATAAAATATAGAATAAAAAGTAAAAAAAGTAAATCAAATAAATAGTAAAATAAAAAATTTTAAGGTAACTTATTATTAATTGTTAATTATTTATTAATTTTTAAATCGTTTTTAGTATTATTGAATAGTATGAAATATAAATGAATATACAAAAACAAAACTTACTAATTCTTGCTCGAGAGCAAAAACATAATGATTGAAGAATTTATGCAACTTTTCATTGGTATAATTGATGCAAAGTTGTTCAAAACTATTCGTGTCAAAATTTTCGAAGCCAAAAATATCCAACACTCCCAAAAACCTCGATATGTCTTGTCCCGGATTGGTACAATTATTAATATGATTAATGAGCCAGGCGAAAGTCCTTGAATAAAGAGCTTTAGACATTGCATGTCTATTCTCTTTAGCCTCTTGCACTTTAAGCGGTATTTCTGTTATGTTACCGCGTACATTAATCTCTCGTTGCAACACAATTCTTGTAAGGTCTTTAAGCTCTAAGCCAATAAGAGGTGCAACAGTTTTGAGAATTTCACAATCCTCTAGAGTCAATTCACAGCGCTCCCCGTCAATGTCCTGGAAACTGAGATTACCTAACCAAAGGATTGCCGATAATACACGAAATATACCCTCGCACATCTCCACTGGTACCTGAGCAAAGAAGATGTGTTCTTATAAATATGATTTTTTTCATGTTTTGTTTAAATTCCGAGTTAAGTAAAATAATAACAGTAGCTGTAATACGCAAATTGAAGCACAAAGTGATTTTAACTAAAAAATATTGTAATTTGTGAATTATTCTAATTTATTTATTAGGCACAGTAAAATTATGTGATGAATGAGTAATATGATTTGGAGTCTCAACGAATATAATAAAGAGAATTAGGAAAAATTATATATCTTGAAGTACCTGGAGTACATTAAAAGCAAGCCTGAGCGCGTCGAATCTCTTGGAGTCGGCAAGGCCGTCAAGGCGTTCACTCGATTGTGTTAGGTATTTGTAATAATTCGCTGGTTTGAGTTTATACTGTTCAGCAAACTCTTTATCGCGAGTTGCTGCTTCAACCAACTGATATAATACATGATAATTACGTTCCCCAGAGCTCTGGAATGTGATACGACTCTGCTCAAGTAAATAGTCTTGGATTATGCAACCTTTTATCATCCACTTGCTATCAAAGCAAACCTGCATAAACTTGCCAAAGCGTGAGCTATTGTCATTTCGTACTGTCTTTGCATTACCTATAAACAAAGAAAAATCACCCATTTCTATTATTAATCAAAGTTACTTACTTCGTATTATATTAATTTCGCAATAGAGTACTGCTTATTATTGGTATAACTATTTCCTATTAATATAACTATTTTAATATACATGCAATTTAATCTATCTATAGCTGTAGATGAAGAAAATATTAATTTCAACAAAATTATTTTAAAATTATTAGATTAATTATACATCGTTAAAGAAAAGTAGTAAGTCCATTGCCTACCAAATGCTTCAAGAATGGTATTTGCTTCAAGGATCTGCTGCTCTACCCAAGTATCTACATTGCTTGTTACTGAGCATAAGTATTGGAGGATAAATTTTGTAGTCTCAGTTTTACCAGCTCCACTCTCTCCTGATATAACGCAGGATTGGTTAGTGTCGGTATTTTTGAGAGAACAATAAGCAGCCTCTGCTAAAGCGAATACATGTGGCTCCAGAACACCGATTTTCTGACCGTGATAACGGTGTACATGTTGCTAAAAAGAATGAAAATACTCCATTTACGTTGTGAAATAATAATTAGTTGATATAATAATTAGTCGAATTGTTATTATAACTATTACAAATATTACTTTAATTTCTGACTTCAAATAATCTAATAATAAGAGTTACACGAAGTATTGGTATCTTCAGTATTTTCCTTCATAAGTATTACTCATAATAAATAATGTAAAATTTTATTATTTACTTTTAATGCGGTTTTATACAAAAATAATTTTACTTAATACTTGTTTCTTATGTAATATTAATCTTCAAAAAAACAAGGAAAGAATACAAAAATTAATAATTCTAAAATAATTAATCAAACATCTGTGAGGACGAGTGAGTCTTATATATACTGCAACAGTACCTTAAAAATATAAAACTCATATCATTTTACTTGAAAATTTCTTAAAATTAAAACGATTTTTTAGAAAAAAATTTATTGCATAGAATTTGTTGTAAACAATTACATTTTGAATACAAATATAAATAAAATAACAATTAATCTAATCTTATTGATCAACATCTAATTTAATAGTTACAAATAAGTGTCAAAAATTCAGAGTTAAAACTTATAATTTATTGCAATGTAACACAATGAATCGATAGACTACATTATTTCTTTGTTTTATTATATATGTGTATGTGAACCCACGAGCGCGTATGCTACTTATATTTATCTTTATTTATCTTTCTTTTATTATTTATGATTCCTTATCAATTTATAATTTCCATAAATTCATAAAATCAAATATTCGACAAATTATAAATAGTAAAAAATAATAAACCAACTCTTGATTAAAATAGATATAAAATCTTATATAATTTTATACCACACTAATGCATTCAAGTAGATTAACACAGCTAAATCTACTTCCGCTATCGCACCTTTTTATGCAAATCACCATTACTTTGGGTTTCGAAAGTATATAATTAAAAAATGCGATTGCAATAATAGATAAACCGTCTTCAAAGATATTTTTATTTTTATTTTCCTGATAAAAATATAGTAAATGCATATAATATAAGTAGTGTGATCCATTTTTAAGTCAGCCATATTTCCCCATGTATATAATATTACAATCCTTAGTTTTTATCATTTTTCGTATCTCCGTACTTTTATTCGTTCTATATTTCTGTCTTATTTTCGATTTTCGTTTTTTTTTATCAATCGACATAATCATTTGACACGTTTCATAAGCTTGTTTTTATGCAATGTTTATTTTACAAAAATAGTACTTTGTTTTAATTTCAGAGAGTTTTCTTGCAAATATATATAACTTCAATCTCTTTATCTTTAAATCCGTTTATACTTCTTCAAATTTTCTTTTCTATTTATTAAATATATATAAATATTTTCAACATTTTATTTTATTAATATTTTAACAAAATAATAAATCGAGAAAAATTTATGTGATTAGAGAAGTAGTTTTCTAATTTATGTATAGTTAGGATAAGTCATATTTGGATCAAGAATAGTTGAAAAAATCTATTAAGAAGACTATTATTATGAAGAATTTCCAAAAAAATTCAATTATTAGCTTAAATATATTATATTATATTATTTTCAAAAACTAGTGTAAATTTGATAATTATAAATGATTTAAGTATGTAAATTATGATCGATGAAAATATACTGATTATTTCGCGAAATTCAAAATGATCCAAACGTAAACATAAAAATACTTTAGTACAAGTTTTTGTATCATCGAGTTGATATATTACAGTATCAATATTTGAATGTGCATATAAGAATTAGTTTAATAAAAGCGCCATTTTTTAATTTACTGAAGCAATTTAATAATTTGCCTCCAGACAATTTTTCATTAAGAACTGCAACAAAATTTACCAATAAATAGTCCGAAAATCAATAATAATATTTCAGAAATAATCATGAAAATAAGAAAATAGATAATTAATCCCCTACTAATTTCATTACTAATTAAATTAATGAAACCTAATTTTTTACACGTTATATGAATAACACATAAAATATTCTAATTTTAGTTTAAGAAGATTTAAAATTATAAATAATTAAAATTCTAAAACTGTTTTAAAAACTAAAATATTCCTAGATAAACTTTAAAAATTTTATAAATTCCGATTAAGATTGTAAAATTTTTTATTTCACAAATAATAACTTAAGTACAAATAATAAATATGCTAAATTATTTTAGCCATATATTATACTTAAAAGAACTTATGTATTATTAAAAAGAAAATAAAAGTGTTTTAAATAATCTTTTTCCGATATTAATAATAATTATTATGGCCTTTTAAAATTAAACTTATTTATCTTGAATAAAATTCTTTTCAAGAATTAACTAATATCAAAATTTAACTCTTAAATTTAATTTGTAATTTTTTAGGAAACATATTTAAATTCTAAACTTATGTAATTATACATAAGCTTTTATCGATATTTGCCATAATTATGGTGTCCTAGAAAGAAAAATATAAATATTTTTTACACAATACATAAAATTGCATAAGAAAATTTCAAGATAGGTGTTATACCAGAAATAAATATATTATAGAAAAACATGATAAAAATAAAGTTGATACGATCCTACTTCAACATTTAAGGCGGAAATAATCAAACATAAATACTAATCAGCTATGCTGACGTTAAGTGTACCCATATTTTTAGCTTTTCTGTCGGCATGAAAGGAATCTGAATTCCGAGGATTAGAGCAAGAAACCTGCCAGCCTCTGATTACTGTCACTTTCGTGCCCAAAAAGGATTACGCGCTGTCCGATCAATAATGTTTGTTGTAACCCAAACGACGGCAGCAATGGTGCCTCAAATGGGTGCACGTGCACGTTACCATTCTCGACCCCACTTTCTTTTTCCAGGGCGTGGTACATCCTCGTGTAAACACAGTAAACATGAATTTAAAGATGAAACTCGCTTTGGTTGATACTACATCTTACAGTCAATATGTTCGAAGTGCACAAATGACGATTACACTATTGTTCGAGGATCTACCTGTTAATAATTTTTATTTTCACATAACACTTTTTTGAGGCTGACTGAGCTTTTTCATAAATTTTATTTTCATTTTTGTTGTTATTATTGTTGAAAGTCTAGAAATGATTATTGATATTTAATCAATATTAATAAAGAATACAAATAAGTAAATAAATAGCAGTATGTTCATAATCAATAATAAATTAAATTTGGTCAAAAACTTATATAATTTGTAACAATTTGTGATAATTTGTTTCATAATGACATTATGTAGTGTTCCAAATAAAACACATCGAACTTTTATGGAAAGTAAGAGATCGATGTCATGCTTCATCAAATTTGTATTCACGTGAATATAGAATTGAGAAAGGGGCGAAAGTGATGCTCGATAATGACTCAGACAAAAACAGTGCTTAGAACGTATGTACCAACCATAGATGCATTTTACATTTGCGCTTTTTGAGTCCTAAAGATTTATTATTACGTATGAATGAACGATGTAACTATTTGTAAATCGAGTCAACACTGATTGGACCAAATCAGTTGTTTTATATACAGTTATATTAATTTTATGTAAAATTGTAATATTACTTGAATATAGTGTGTCAACAACTTAATATTATTATAACAAATTTATTAATGTTAATATTCTTAATATCAATTAAAATATGTTTTATTCATCTTAGAATTAATTATCATTGAGCAATTAATAAATTAATATAAATAATGTGTATATACGATAAAATTGTTAAATTAAAATTCATTTAATTCTAGATATAATTTACGCATAAAACATCTCAGCTACTTATAATATAAACATATTAATAAAAGTAATATTAATTATCCGCATACAACATAGATTCAAAATCAAATTAAATAATTGATAAAAAAAATTAGTAATACAGCAACACAAAGAATTTTCATAATAATGAGAAAATCATCGTTTATTCCATATTTTCAGTAGTTTTAAAATATTTTAAATAAAAATATATTTATAACAAATTTTCTATAGATTCCGTCTTTGAATAATATATGTATTCATGTAAAAGACTTCTCTCAAAATAAGTTAAAAAACTAATAATATAAAATTGATTAATCAATATCTCTTAGCAAAGAAAATGCTAGCTATACATCATAATTTCTATCAATCGCCCAGAAACAAGTGAATTTACCTCTAACACATAGGGCACTTTGTCTGAAGATAAAGAATCTTCAATGTGCACATGCCATTTATTATTATTTTGCTTAATTAGTTTCACTTGTATTTAATAGCATATTCTGTTCCATTGACGGAGAATCACGTGAATGAAAGTATAGTTTCCAAGATTTTACTCATTTCAATTTGATCCGTTAATGTAAACTGTATTTTATAATTGTTTACTTACCAAAGAGTAGAAGTCGACTTCCTTATACGGATTGACAGCTATTAATATCGATCCTGTGTACGTCTATGATAATTTAATTTCCTATTTAAGGAAGATATTCAATGCATTCTAAATAGTTTAATAAACTATAAAGTATATATTCGCAGACAGGAAAAATAGTTATGCGATATATTGTACTTTATATAACACTTTTATTAACTTTATTTATCTCTTAAAACTTTATATACATATATACATGTGTGTGTGTTTGTGTTTGTGTGTGTGTGTGTGTGTGTGTGTGCTATATAAGAAGTATATATTAAATTTTACATTGCTTTTAAAATAAAATTTGGATGTGTAACCTATGTAAAACTATAAACAATTTAATATTACAGTACTAAAATAATAAAATATGTATCTTAAAACCAAAAATTATTACAAATTTAATATAACAAATATTTTTTAATCATAATACTAATAAACATATTCCTAATATTAATAAAATTCTACATATAATTATTTTAAAATTTTTTTAATTTTTATGTGTATTAGGAAATATTATTTTTTAAGTCTATTTATGTATAAAAGTAGAGTAAAAATATATACTTCAAAAATATCACAAAATCATACTGGGATTTGTTTACGAAGAGTTGTTTAAAATCTTTATTATTATTTCATAATACATCTATGTAAAATATTCACCTTGCATAGTAGCGGCTTGTTAAACTATGCAAGTAAGAAATGAGTCACACTTGTACAAAACAGTGACGAGGGGTAACATTAAAGACGCATATATCTAACATTCGTATCATGTTAAAGTAGTGGGATATTTTCGATCAAATTTTATGATAGGCTGCAAAACTTGTATTCACAAGAATCCTTATTAACTCTCTAGTTAAAACTTACCATGAAAATACTTGTTGGAATGTAGTGTCTACGTAATGTTCCATAATTTTCAAAACAATTCTGATGACACTAGATGAACTGTAACAAAGAATTGAAATTTTATATATGTACATGTACAACTTTTTCTACACATTTCACTAAATGGGTGCCTATGATTTTTCCTTTTTTTAAACACTCAACACTCCCTGGGCAATTATAAACTAATATGAAATCATAGCTTTATACAGATAAAAACATAGCTTGACAAATGTATTATGTAGAAAATATCAACCCTCTTTTATACATAAAATCAATAATAAATTCTGTCGCTTTGAGTGGTAAATAATAATATTTGATAATATTAATATTTTTCAATGACACTTACAAAATTATTATAATTTATAATAACGAGTATTTTTACGATTAAAACATCCAATCAAATCAATTTTTTATTTTTCATGTAAAACGAAGAATTTGCAGATAGTAAATCACAAATGATAAAAAACCATATATGTCTGCTATAACAAATAACAAATATCAAAATTTTTAGTCGTATCCGCTGCAGCATCTAAAATGTCAAGATTAAAATTCAATCGTGAATTATTTAATTACTAAGTATATAACAAAAATATATGACATTGACATTTGAAAACTGATTTGCAAAAATTACACGTTGTGTTATTACGTTATAGCGAATAATCACTTTTTTATTTATTTAACAAAATTTCATTACAAAATCCTCCACTAATTAATGTATAAGTCTAAGCGTTGAGTAATCAAGAAGTACTAAAAAAAGTTTATCTATCCTATTTGAATCGAAAGAGAATCAGGTGAGTAAGTGCATATGCCTAGCCTGAGAGGCAACAAATTTAGAAGAGTAACATATCTTCTCATTATAATATTTTAATATGTATTCGCCAAGATAGTTGACTAAAAAAATTTTTAATTATTTGCAACGATTGCCGCGATAAGAATATCTATCATTTTACAAACTGTACAATGTAATCCAGTATTTCATGTGTTATTACTAATCAAATCTAATATAATTTTAAAAATTAGGTAAGCATATTTAAATATTTAAATTAAATTAATGATTATTATCTCATTGATAATAATAACCGATGCATGATATAAGTTATTGTTATACTGATCTTTAATATCTAATATTAATCTAGCTACATTGGTTTTGGGGTATTGGGTATAATTAACGTTAAATTAAACCATTACGTCAAGTAAGATCACATTAACACATGATTTTTCATTGTATACTAAATATAATTAATATATTTAGTTATCATAACTTGCAGTTAAAGTAATATATTCATTTTTTGTATAAAAAGATATTAATGAAATAGTATTAATTACGTATATCAAAGTACTTTTATACGTCATATTACATATTATGAATGAATTTATGACAGATATCAGATTTCACTATTAAGAATATTTATTTTCTAATTTAAAAAATTAGATTAGTAAAAAATTTCAATTCATAAATATAAAAATTTGTTTAATTTCCTTATTCTGATGCTAAAAAATAAATATATTTTTTAAATTTGTTATAGTTGATCAGATTATAGATATACCAATACATAAAAGCCTAAAAAACTGAATAAAAAGGAAAAGAAGAAAAAAAGAATGAGAATATGAAGAGATAATAGTACATATTACAAACAAATCTGTGGATTAAAAAGCTGATGCTGAGAAGTATATTTGTAAAATAAAATGAAATATACAATACATACTAGAATCAAATCTACCTGATGTTCATTCGAGTCAATCATTATATATATATATATATATATATATATATATGTCCTATCCAAAATATATATTTTCTATACATAATTATATCTTCAAGCATTAATTTTCTTAATAATATAATTTAAAGGTCCCATTAATGTTTATATTTACGTTTCAGAATTTTTAAGAATCAATTATAGTAAAGATTGCATCGACATATATAAGAATATATTAAACTACGAATTAAAATTGAAATATAATATATTGATTATTTTGTCTATGATTATAATGGAAACTAAGCAAATCTAAAATTTGATCAAATCTTCCTGTTTTTTTCTATAACTTATTCCTTTATGCAATTTTATTTTTAATTATTTAGTGTACTTATTTAAATTATATTATTAAAGTAATAAAAACTGACAATATTTTACTAATTTTAATATTAATATCTTATAATATACATATTTGTTAATTATTTTTTTATTTTATTAATTTTTAATATATTTAATAAAATTATTTAATGAAACTATTTTATAAATAATAAACGTAACAATTCAAGTATTACAATATTTCAAAATCTATTTAATAATATTATGATAAACCAATTATACATTACAGAAATCGAATTACATAACTATTTAAGTTTAGAGTGTTTAAATTTTATTTATATTTAAATAAATATATATCCATTTAAAATTTCATAAACTATACATCATACATATCATAAACTATAGAAATATACTGATTCTATTTATTTGAATTTGGAGCGATAAAGAGAAACAATAAATAAAAATATAATGTTTGCAAAGGCACAATCTTATCAATTTACTATTGTATCATTTTATAATTAATTTTAAATTCTTTATTCGTGTAAAAATTAATTTTTATAGGATAATGCATAACTTCAAATATTTATTATTTTCTCAAATTATATTTGGTAATATTCAATTTCGCAAAAAAATAAATATTATTGTTAATAAAATAAAAATTACTAAATAAAATAAAGCAAATATTACTGTTATGTTTTATTAAAAATCATAGTAAGTGGATTTCCACAGTCCGTTCCATTTGCGTTTATAGAATATAAACTTGTCATTTATATAGATATAAACGTCTGCTATAATGGTAGCAATGTACTATGATTATATGACTAATATAATAGGAGCCTGCAGCAAATAGATCAAATGTTGTGAGGGGTCGACCGGCTCATTCAACAATAATAAATAAATTTAATTATATTATTAAATTATCGAATAATACTAAGTAAAACTCATTTTTTCTCATATAAAATGAATTAATTTTATACATGATTCGAAAGTCATCAATTTACCTATTAATAATGAAAAATAGTAATTATCAAACAACTTTTATACAGAAAATTCTAAAATGGAAAGATTTCGAATAACACTATTACCTTATTTATTGTATTATCAACCGTTAATAAAATTTCATTTCCTTTACTACTCTTAGAGTATACTATAAATTATCAAGAGTGATACTTTTGAGACTTAAAAAACATGTTTGTATTATAAAATAGGAAAATATGATCAGGGAAATACATAGCAATTTTCCAATTTTACAATGAATTTCTTAGATAATTATTTTTACTCAAAAATTTTTTATCTTTATACATATTTCATAATGTACAGAATACAAATTTATAGTAATTTTAAGTAAAAAATAGTAAAAGTAAAGAATATATAATATTGCATTTTTTATTAAATTCTCTATTTTCTGACTTATCCATTTGTGATTCACATATAACTTCTGCCGATGTTATATATAAGGTAACATATTGAATATAACTTTTTTGATGACTAAATATACTAATTTGAAAATTCATTTTTTAACGATATACTGATAACAGTTTTTTACTTTTTCAATGATTAAGTGATGACTCACGCTTATGCTTACGCAAGTAAAACTTGAGTTTCGAAGGACTTTACGGAAAGCAATATATAAGAAAATATATTAGAAAGGCGAAGAAGTATGAAAAAATTAATCAAATAAATACATAGACTAAATGATTTGGAAAAAAAGAAGTTGGAAAAGAGAGAAAATATCCTTTTGGGAATATAGTATCTGTGGATGGGTTACGTGTTATTCTTCCAATTTACCACCCTCGTATACTGAGTTCAATGTATTTTATTTTTCATTTTTGATAATCCTCGAGTTATTCAATTAAAGTTGGAATGAAAGAAAAGAACCCATGTTATTAAAATCTTTCGTTTCATATTCTCAATTTAAAATTTTAAATAAGAAAAAAGTAATACTGAAAAGTAATAATAATCTTATGAAGGAAAGATTTATTTTAGGATTTAAAAAATTAATTATTGATAAACGAATATTTTTGTACATTTTTAGTACTATTGATTAATTAAGAAGAATACTATCTAGAATTCGAATGTAACCGTTTCCTAATATAAATATCTGCTTGAGTGTATTCTACATATTTTTGTTGATTTTTATATAGATGTGTCTCTTTAAAAGAAAGAATCTCTGTTTTGGCACTACCAATATTTTTTCATTTTCTTTCTTTGTCGATATAGTATTTCATTTTATTCTACAATGAAATTCTACCAACTAAGAAGAGTAGATACAGCAACAGAATCAACAACTTAGAATACTGTCCTCTGCTAATAAATTTGAGGATAATATATCGTATTTCCAAATATCCACCATTTCCATTCCAGTAACATAGAAATAAAATAATAGCTCTGTACCAAGCTCTGTTTCTTAGCTCTTTATTCAATACAAAATTTCTTACTAGGTAAAATCATATATTTGTTTTTGTTATCAATGTTTTGACAATTATAAAGAAAAATTATTTTATAACCTATTTTTATAATAAAATAATTCTGAATCTATTACATAATAAATAATTTAAATGAAGTTTGAAACAAAATCACTACAATCTATAGATGAACTAAATTTTTTGTATCCATAATTAAATTAATTACATATTTAAAACTATTTAAAAAACTAAAATAAACTGCATAGGTGCAAATATTCAGCAATTAGTAACCCACTTAGAAATTATCAATGTAAAAGGAATCAACGCATAATTGAATTCTACGAAAAAATAATTTAATGCTTTGATGTTTAAAAAATTTTATGAATCAAAATGATGTTTAAAAGCCTATATAAGGATATTCATTTTTACTTAATTATTTATGTACAAGTACATATCATTCTACTCCTTTGAACTTATTGCCATAGAGCTGAATCAATGTTTATAAATTTTGAGATATATAAGTAAAGGGGCTACAACATTTTTATACATTAAGATTATACTACTGTAGATGTATGACTGAAATCAAAGTATATTGAATGTAAAATTGCATCTCATGTATATTTATTATAAAAATCATATCCTAGTATTCTAAAATTTTGAACCATAGCTTTTTTAAAGGATACATAAATTTCATCTTTGCTGTATCGTATTTGAAGATTACGATTTATACCCTTTTCATCGATGTCACTAATTGCCGTCATGTCCGGCACTCCCAGTTCAGGGCTGCAACCTGAAAATAGATTTTTATATGTTTATATAAAATATTAATTTTATTTATATTATAAGCAAAATACTTCATGGTATACTATTAAAAATGAAATAACTAGTAATAGTAAATCATTACTTCATAATTTTTTCACAAAAAAATTAATATACAATTATATTTCACGTTTATTTTTACTATACTGTCATATCGAACATACTTCATCGAAAATTTCTTAATGTAAATCTAGTTTAATTTAAAGTTTTACTATAAAGTACATGTATATTCACTGTTAATTAAATTAATTTTTTTTAAGATTAATAAAAATATTTTTAGAAAGTAGGTTATTCATAATCTGTTAGTATAAACAGAATTTGATGAACAGAATTAATTAAGTAATTTAATCGTTTGAAAATTTTTAAATATATTAACTAAATACAATAATTATCAATTACAAAAATTATACTAATTTTTTTTGGATTAGCTTGATTTTATTTGTACACATTAAAAAAGGTTTATAATTTATTATGTATATACATAAAGATACACTGGCACACACACAAAATGTACGATGAAATATATAATTATATAAAAATAAAGCAAAAATTTAATTAAATAAATAATAATTGTATAATAATTATATTATACTATCAAAATATCTGAATAATAGTAATAAATTGACAATAACTAAATAGATTTATAATTTTTAAATTAAATCTAAAATCAATAATCCGAATGTTATATTATATTAAATATGGATTTAGAGTTAATGTAAATAATTTTTTTATGGGCAATGTACAAATGACTAAATGAGTGTAAACAAAAAAAATGATAAATACTGATGTAAAATACAAGATATCTGCTTGTACATTACAAGCAAAAATGTTTCAAATTAAATTAATTAAATTAAATAGTAAAAATTACTATTAATTTTCTAAATATAACATTTAATATTTGTTACATATTTTTTATATAAAAAAATACAACTTAAAGGTAAATGATAAAATTTATTACTAATTTTAATACAAGCAATTATTTAATAATATCAAATCATAATTAAAAATTAGTATATTAACTATACAAATTTATTTTATGTGTTTCATTTTAATTTTGATGCAGAATTCAAATATTAGATTATCAATCATTTCAGCTTACAAGTAAATTAATAAGAATTTATTTGTCATAATATAACAAAATATTTAAATAATCTAGTAAAATTAACTTTAAATATAACAAATAAAGGTAACTTAGAAATAAATATATTTAATTCACTTAATAAATGAAATAAAATTTATCTGGATAGTATTAGAATAGTTTAACTATTAATTATAGTACATATTAAATACATATTAGAATGTTATTGCGAGTTCTGTTTAATAAAATAAACTTCTTTTAATAAAATAATTTTTTTAATAATTCGATTAACTTCTGTTTAATAAAATAAAATTATAGTTATTACAAAATTAACATGAAAATATTTTCGTTGTTTCTCTATACATACCTTTTTTATTTTACCTTTCTAAATACTTTCATAAATCAATAATTACATGATATCATAAATACTAATTGAGCTCTATTATAAAATAAATTATTTGTCTTTTCACCAAATTGTTTTTTTCAAAATTTTCACCAAAGAAATTTACCATAACTTACAATACAATACTGTAATTTTAAATATAAATAATAAATGTGTAGTTAAGCCAATCTCTACAAATATAATTGAAGCTTCAATCAATATTAAAAAATCAATTTATTACTATTTATTTACTAAAAAAATTTGTAATAATAATACATGTTATTGCAGACGATGTTTTTTAATATAAGGGTGGCTATATATATATATATATATATATATATATATATATATATGTAATATATAGCAGCATTAAATATATTTCAATTTAATTCAACACTATAAATATAATACGATTAAACAATTATACTCTACAATTTTTAAAGAAAACAGTTTATTCCAATAATTCTTTTATTCAAAATAATCATATTTTAAATACTTATAGTCGAATTTTATATATTTATGTATTCAAAATTTATGTTTACATGTAGAGTAATGTGATTGTTAAAAAAAAAGTTTGAGAGCGGAAAAATAATATTCGTGCAATAGTGTATACAATAACATTATTTTGATATATAAGTACCTTCTACACTAATATAAAACGCATATTATATAAATATTTGCTTGCGGTAAGATGTTTTAAAAACAATTTAAGCCCATATATTTATTATAAAACACGACAGCAAATTACATTAAGATATCAATTCATTTTGTTTTTTGAAGGCTCTGTTAGCTATTATTAATAAATAATATAATGAATAGTATAAATTTATTTTAATAGTCATAAAGCTTGATCATCCACATACTCATGAATTATATAAATAAACACCACATAAATTTCACATAAACGAACATCCCATTGAAATTTCAAAGATTCTAATTTAACATGAAATATAACAGAGTTTTAATTTAAGTTTTAAAAAATGTAGTCGATATATTTCAATTGGATTATTAATCCTGATTTAATAGAAACATATTTTACACTGTTGGAGCATTTTCGAAGCTTCTTTAAATATTTAACAATCTAATAAGATATAAGTGTAACACAATATATTTATTAAGCAATACAATTTTATGAATGTAGAGTTTTTTATTTTATATTTTATTTGGTATATTTAAAAAATATTAAAATAAAAATAAATGTATTAGCTAATAATAGGATTCAATTACATATTTCCGAATATAGTATTAACTGTTCCATGAACAATATCTGTATAAATGTTATTTTACAAAAATACCCATGTAAAAATAGAAAATAAATATATAAAAATATACATCGGATTATTTGGTACTATCACATCAAGAATTATTTTACAAATTTTTCTAACATTTAAGTAATATGGAGACTTAGTAAGATTATTATTTAATTTTAAATTATTTTATAAATTTATAATCAGGTTTAAATTAATTGCACTTAATTGCTTAAATGAATGGTACCTTCACTATTTGTTTACTAACCTTGGAAACATACATTATTCAGAACTTTCAATTTACAATATTATATTTTAACAAAAAAAGTTAATTTTGTCGTTAAATATAAAATAAAATAAGTAGTTATAAATTCAGATAAAATGTATGATTCCAAATACCCTATCTGATAATTAAAAATTCACTCTCATGCAGTTAAATGGTTAAACGTTCTCTTGTAACAAAAGCGTGAAAAATGAAATGCTCTCCAAAAGTAAAGTATCACTTATAGATGGATGAGTGGAAAAAGTACACTTGCCTATACGGAAAAAAGATGACAGAATAAAGAAGACAAAGCATAGTACATACCAGCACAGAATACTTGAGCACACCCCTCGCTGTTATACATTTGGCGAATCATACTACAAAATCCATTCCTCCTTTAAACTATAATGAAAATCAATGCTATCTCGTTATATATGGTTGTGATCCATCGATTTAAAAACGCGAAACTGACAGTTCTATTCATGGATTTTATCAATGAAACAAAGATTCACAAGTTTAAGTAAAACACTCATTTTTACTTTACCTACATTGTTTGCAATATTTGGATTTATCAATATAACCACTTTATATTAAACAAAAATTGCTATATATTTATTTTAATTTTATAAACTATTATTGTAACTGCAACATAACTTACAACAAAGAATTTCTTATTCATTATTGTTTCTAATCAAATAACCAAATATTTCTATAAGTTATATTTTAGTGTAAGTCTTACTTATCAAATCTATAATATATAAAATAAATAACTATAATATATATAAATTTCAGTTCTATATCGAAATTAAATGATTTTATTTAAAAAAATAAAGATAAATGGTTGATTTTTAATAATTACTTAAAAACTCATATAATAATATCAATTCTAATTAAATTATATCGTCTGAAATAAATATGTACTTCTCAATTTTTAATCATTTATTTTATAAATTTTAGATTCCCTAATGAATACAATAAAATGTGTTCATTAAATATAATTTTCTTCGTGATAATTTATCAATTATAACAAAATATATGAATATTCAGTATGCTTGAAACCTTACTTTATTTTTACAATCACAGCCGAGTTAAACAGTAAGTAAAATATTTTCGGATTAGTACATTCGTTTCGATAAAAAACAGTATTTCTAAATATCGATGTGTTCGATAGCGTTCGATATGACTAAAAATTCTTTCTTAAAGTATATTTGAATTTCATAATCAATAATATTATAATAAGCAAATATTATGCTAGATAGTATGTATCAGAATAAAACAAGATATGAAAAAAATACTTTCCTACTTATTGATACAAAACACAGTAACATCTAGTAGCAATACTAAAAAAAATTCTCTTAATTATTTTTTTTATAATTAAAAAAATTTTAAATATTTCATATTTCAATTTGAAATAATGTATATCTTTATAAATTAACAATATATACATTTTTTAATTTCTAAATAATTAAATATGAATAGGAACGTTTTCATTGATATGGGTAAATCGATCTATTCTTATAACAAAAAATTATACTTTATAATAAATATCTCTATAAAAAATTTTTATTAGTATTAAAGAAACAATTATTTTTTAAAACATTAAAAAATCTAATTTGATATTAATTATGTACTGTAGTGGAAAAGATAAATTAATAACAGCAATTTACAAGCAAAATGTTCTAATTTATAATAGTTAAACTAACGTTACTTTCTTTAATTATTATTAATATTTTCGGTAAATCTACATTTAGATAATGAATTGATAAATAGAAATATTATTAAAAGTGCGTAAATTTTATATCGACTATTCATCCATTAATTTAAAAGCCGAGTTCGAATAATCTTAGCTTGTAGAATAACAAGCAGATCTCATTAAAATAATATAACGTTTTAATTTAAAATGCTAGAGTTTAAAGATCGGTTTGATTAATTATGTATTAACTATAATCATAACATATAACTAGCCTCTACGAAAGTGCAAATTGTTTTTCAGAAGCTACTG